TCAGCGATTTTAATACAAAGAAACGATCGACCTTCGTTGCTACAGTGCTCATGTGATGAAATAGAAGTAGAACACGAAAACTGATAACAAGTGAGGTACATGTCAGCCAGAACCTCGACATCAAGGTCAGCGAGATTAAGCACATGTATTAATATTCAGACTGGTGAACAAGGTGCCTGCCGGCGCAGCTCGGCGCTCTCTCAAGTCGACATGCAGGTGTCTGAATATCCAGATCCTACAAAACCCTCTCTACTGTATAGACTTGGGGGATATAAGACTTTAAAGGGTATTATGCCAGTTGGGAGAATATATTGTCATCATCTTCATGAGACTGGGAGAGTGCATTGCCAGATAGACCAGCATCGCCTTCGCCAAGCTGCCTGCGCTTTCTGGCAGGCTTCCTGTTGGCGGTATCTATGGAAGGGGCATTAGTAATTCTGTGTTGATAAGAGTGTTATGATACTTGCGCTCACCACCATAAGAATCGCTTGAAGATACTGAGTGGGAGGCTTGGCGCTTATTCAAGGTGGAAGCCACCTCCTTAGTTGACCAATGGCCATCGGTCCTTCTGCCAGCATCCTCTCCTCCGCGGAAAATAGGACGAGGCCGCGGAACTGCTTTGCCTGGCTCCTTGTGAGAGGCACCATTGGATGCAAGTAGGTTACTCCCCAGTTCATCATCTTAATGATTAGGAAGAACGTGCCAGATATCTTGTATCAATTTATAACTCACCTGACTTGGCAGCCGATCCTACGTCATCACCTTCAGCAGTCAGCGCTGTATAAAGAAGCGTTAAAGACAATTCATCAAGGTAAACAGAAAATTGAACTGGTCACATCCCAGTCGGACCTCACTTGTCGCACAACCAATAATGTGCCGACCCGCAAATATATAAAAAAGTATTATACTCACTGCTGCCCTCACTTGCATCAAGGTCGGTGTCACTCCTCGTAGGGATATTTATGGTAGGTCCTTGAGCGGGGTTGACATCGAGATTAGGAGAAATAGGAGTAGGATCGCTATCGAGAGTGGGGTCGGCAGCCAAATCGGGGTCGCTATCCAGGGTGGGGTCTACATCCAAAGTGGGGTCCACACCCCCTGTGAGATCCATACAAGCCTCATGTTGAACGGATGGTTGAGTAAAGGGGGGACAAGTTGGGTGGACGCAAAGATCCATAGCAGCTGCATTACTGTTGAATATCGCATTGGAGCCAACGAAAAATGCAACCTACCTGTTTGACTCTCTGTCTCAGGCTGGCCAGGCACGCTCCTAGCACCATTGCTATCTGAATATCACATGTAAACAATTATATACCAATATGAATGACTCGCTTACCTTGACCTTTCTTTGCATCCAACATTGGTAGTTCTTCGTTCTTATCATGCTCCTTAACACGATCTCGATGTTTCTGGCGGGTTCTTGCCTCGGCCTCTAGCAGTACAATCTCGTCCCCTTGCGACGGCAGCAAAAACTTCTTGTTTTTCATAATGCGGGATACGACCGCCCCGTCCTCTACTGCCCTGTATAGGACACGGAGTCGATCACTTGGTGAGAGGCTGCCATCAAAGGGGAATTTCTCGTCTTTTGAAGACTGGCGTTGGATGTGGGCATTGATGCTTAGTGCCTGCGAGTGTAGAGGTAGGCGGATCATGAAATAATGTTATGTTATGTCAATATATTTACCTTGACAAGCGCTTCGAGTGCTTCCTGAACTTCGGCACGAAGGGGGGGATGTTCGCGTGCTTCTACTGCGCCTGTAGTATCCTCCCAGGCAATGCGGCTGTTCTGTACGAGATTGATAACCTTCTGTGCTTGACGAGTCTGATGGACCAGTAGAAAATCGCGCGCTTGTGACCCAAGCTCGACTTCCAGTTTAAAGTCAACCTGGGATACCGTTGCAACAATTTGGTCAGGCCACGTCAGGTTCACGTGGTCTGGCGCTAGCTGCGCAGCTTTGTCGGTGCCTCCAAGTCCCCCACTTTTCAGTTTCTGCTTCTTCCTTGAGGTAGGACGGGCAACCCGATACTTTTCGGTGTGGTCCTCAATTGCAAGACGGATGGCAGCTGCACCTCCACTGCTGTCATCTAGCAAGCCAATCCGGTATGCATTGATGATCGCCTGCTCCATGATTGCAATGCAGGCAAGGATGCGCAGGCGGCGTGCTCGTGCTCCACCTATCGCAGCAGACCACTCGTATGTGTGGAAAGCAATTAAGTTCTGCCCCCTGAATGCGTTGTCACCAACACCCGTCGAGATACTCGACTGGCGAGACCATGGTTCATACAAGTTATTGCGCTTCATGGATATCAGCTTCGTTCCACCATTCAAAAGCTTCTGTGCGTCAAGCGCCTCCATACGAAGGCTTTCTATGCGCACTGCATCCTTTTGAATGCGTTCCTTCCGGAGCAACCGCAAGTCAGTCCCTTCCTCAACCTCTTCACCATCCTCATCATTATCATAGTCCTGATCGCCGTCAGACTCCTTATCACTCGATCTGTCATTATCATCATCGTCATCTTCTTCTTCATCATTGCCGCCTTTCTTCCCTTTCTTCTTACCCTTCGTTGGATTGGTACCGCCCTTTTCAGAACTCTTTCCACCATCTGCAATCCCAAAGGCCGACTGCAGCTCTCGCTGCTGCGTGATGCGACGAGGCATGTTGATGTTTGTCATCTGCCCTTCCATGTTGAGGAATTCAGGGAACATCTCAAATATCAAAGATATAATCTGTACAAATGCGTAAATCATCATGTAATACTAAAAATATGATAAATCTCATACCTCAGCAACGGCGCCCCCGCGCTGTTCGGGATCATAGTCAGAATGGGCCATGATCGCCCGAATCATTTCTGCAGAGGCTGACCCAGGAGTCCAGTCTTTCCCATGTGCCTTTGCCATATACAGAAGCGGTGAGAACCACGCAGAAACCTGGATGACTACTTCAGAACGCACTATACTATCTACCCGCAGGATACACACACCTCGAAAATGGACCTCTCGACCATGCGCAGATTCCGGACAAGAGTGGTAATGACAGAGCGAGACATTAGCGGAAAATGGACGAAGTCGTGTAAATCGTCACTTTGCCCAAGCACAAGGGCTGCCTTGGCTGCGCAGCCTTCCAGTGCTGTTTGAACGTCATTAGGCAGGTCCTTCATCACATGCGTTTGTCGCTTGTCTCGGACATAATCTTTCATGGTGGAGATTACATCGAACTTGTACCGCAGGTAGGCTTTTGACCACACATCTTCATTTGTGTTACCAAATCGGTAGGATGCGGGAGTGTTGCCCCCAAGGTGCTTCTCATAGACGTCATCTAAAGCCTCCCGGAGCGGACCAGAGATTGCATCCAGCACTGGATGTACTTGCTTAAGCTGCTGATACATCTCGGTGTCCCCTTTTTTGTCCTTATCGGACATGAATGGAATGGTATTGAAGCACCAGCGAAGGCGGGTCTCCAGTCGCATCGTGACATCAGCAACGATCTGTTAGCAGACGAGCGTCAACGGCAAGTTGATATACGATAGAGGATGCGACACGCACCCCTCCATAACTCGAGAACATTGTATCGTAAAATTGAGTGAACTGCATCTCAGGCGCATGAATGTAGTGGGTGCCTGACGACACGATCGTCGTCAGATGGTTGAATACGTAGTCCTGAGCGAGAAGTTCCTTCTGCTTTGCAAAGACACCCCCAGCCGCAGTGTGTTCGACATCGGACCAGTTTTTATCTGTTGCACACAGCATTTTGTACTTCTGGATGAGGCCCTCTACTGGTGATTGCATGTATACATGCTTCGTTTCATTCTGCGATATATGAAGGCCAACAACTTCGTTCACCTGACCTATTGCTCATTTTGAATTTCCCTTGCCAAATGTATATTCAGTGCGCAACTCACTTTGATCGAAAATCATGACAATCCATTGACCACCATACTCCAGCGCGCCCTCGAGTTTCTGTCGACGCGGCTTTACAACCTTGTCAATATGGTCGATCTGCTCCTGGTCGACCTCACCCGCAGGTAGGTTGGCGACGCGCGTCTCTTTTGCCAACTCCACTTCATATTCCTTCTTCATTTTCTTCACCCAAGCTTCAATAGCCTTTGTCCGATGGTGACCCCCTGCTGCCTGGATCCTCCATTCTTTTGGTGCATTACTAGTAGATATCTTCAAGACTGGGAGCTCGGAGAGCTCCCCGCTCTTATCAAGATCTTTTTCGTAGCTTCCTTCCACAAGCCATGCCTTATGAGCAACAAGAGGAATTGCATGGATGGGATTGAAGCGGTCAGCCCCATTTGCAAGAAATGATTGATATATGGACTGCACTTGCGAATCAACTAAAGGTCTATTGTTCCATCTACCAAATTCAAGGTGGTCATAATATTTGATGAGGTCGAAACGGGCGAATCCCATCATCGCTTGATTTGCCATCTTGCTGCGCTTTGTAACCTCATTGATGCTACCATCTAGCGATGGACCCGCCGTAGAGTTCGTGGTGCTGGCCAGTAATAGGGCATCACTAGCCTGTCCCCAGTGCACATTAGTTGATTAGCGCTCAGCTGGCCTGATGCCAGCGCTGGGGATATTTCGCAATCACTCACCTCCTTCCCAACCTTTTTCTTCTCTTGTCCTCGCGGTTTTGGTGGCATATTCAGGCGTCAGGCACACAACAACAAGCTAGTTTTGATATCGAATGGGAGTCGAAACTTCGAAAGCTGGACTTGGTCAAAAATTGAAATCCGGTTTCAACAAATTGACGTACTATGGCCAAGTGCCTGCAGCCGCGCCAGTGGATTTCGGGAATACCCAGCTGAGTTCTATTCACTATTTAATGCTTCGAACTACTCTTTTTTGATCTCTTTCCTCCATCATCATCGCAGTGTGTGGGGTTTGCCAGGATTTTACCTGGCATTATTATTTCGTAGATCACTGGCGAGACAAGATCATCGGTCAATCATCACTGTAGATTGTAATACTATATTTACAATTTTCAAATACTATGAACAAGTCTCATGCACTAGAAGTGCTCATTGACGACACAACCACCACCGCACAACCAGGGATATCTCATACGCCCCCACAGTCTCCCATCAGGGACTTGCAAAACTCCCAGCTTGCTCCTGCACTCACCGACACTCCTTTCAAACAAGGTAGTTCCACGAAAATCCCCTGGACAACTAATGCGCGTTGCCGGAACCTCACAATCAATGCCTTGGGCACGGACATCAAAAGTTATTGCGTTGGCCCAATGCCAGTCCAGGAATTTCTTGAGAAGTTCCTACCGACTTCAGAGATACCAGCTCTCCCACCTTTGACCTTCAAGAGTGGCACGTTTGATAGTACGATCTCCGTTAAAGAAGAGGTGCGAGCTTATGAACCATTCGTGAGCGCTCCATTATGTAACTATTACGTTGGGATCGCTGACGGTGTTGCAGATTAACACCGTGAAATCTTTTGGCCCCGCTTTATCATTCATCAATACTTCCAACAATCCAGACACAAAGCTTTCTTCATCATTCTCATTCGCTGTCAAGCCGGACATCAGTATATATGCTGATGGAACATCGCACGGCTGCGATGTTTCTACCGCAGAAGTTATCGTTGAATTCAAGTGGGCTTCCTGCCATGATGCCTTTTGTGACTCCCCTGTTGAATTGAAGGAGAACGAAACTCCCTTTATCAACTGTACCATGAAGGGCATGGACACACTAGGACAAATCACAAGCTATGCTGCCGCCCAACTTGGCGCTCAATATCGTACTCACGCTTTCTCTGTCCTGATCGTGCGCAGTCTCGCTCGCATAATCAGATGGGACAGAGAGGGAAGTCCTTGTTACTTGCGCCTTTGATTACAATGAACATCCGCACTTAGCCGACTTTTTCCGTCGTTTTTCACAAGCATCGCCTGCACTGCGTGGCGTTGATACATCAGTGACCTCTGCTGGCGCCGAGGAGGCCATTCGCGCACGGTCAAATTTAAACCTTCACCCTGACACACGCATGTTCAAGGTTATCATCCCTGCTGCTGAGGGTGTCGGTTCATCCATGTTGATCATTCCTGCACCTGTTGCCCGCGGTCTTTCGCCTGTTGGCCGTAGGACACGCACTTGTCCTGCGTTTGACCCTGTCAATAATAAGATTGTCATGTTCAAGGACTCTTGGCGGGTGTCATTACCCGATGTCCTACCAGAGGGTGAAACGTACAAACTCTTGAAGGACGCCAATGTTCGCAATGTTGCAACATGCATTGCATGTCATGACGTACCATCTCTTCCTCAGCAACACACACAGACTTTCAAGTTTTCGAATGCCCCATGGGCACTCCCCCATGGGGCTCTCACTCCACATATTCATTACCGTCTGGTTCTCAATCTTGTGGGCAAGCCATTGGTACACTTTACAAGCTCTCGTCAAGTTGTCAAAGCTGTTCGTGACGCACTGATTGGTATGTGTTTTGGAACTCACATTGCACATCATGCTTATATCTCCACAGCCCATAAGGATGCATGTAACAAGGTGGGCGTGTTGCATCGAGACCTCAGTCCTGGAAATATCGTCATGGATGGCGCTATTGGCATCCTCATAGATTGGGATCTTGCAAAGTTACTCAGAATTCAGGGTCCTCGACAAACCACACGCACGGTACATTCATTATGTACTCAATATTCATATCTCATGCTAAGTTTGCTGTCACCAAGGGAACATGGCAATTCATGTCTGCCGAACTTGTTGAAAACAAACACGCCACGCATACCATTGAGGATGACCTCGAGTCCAGTTTTTTACGTCGTTTTCTGGATTGCCTTGATGTATACGGAGAGTTATATGAGCACCCCTACTCGGTCGCTACTCATGAAGCAGGTCTTCGAGGCCGAGGAGATGAAGGGGATTGGGTCGGGCACCAAATCGGCTTTTCTCATTTCTAGAAGGCAAATTGCGGGTGATGTGTTTGTTGGGCGCAAAGCGCTTGACAAGCTTATCTTTGCACTTGCTGAGCTCTTTGCTCTTCGGTACACTGTAGTCGCCGATGTGGAGCAGGTTGCATTCAACCAAACATTCCCATGCCTGGCGTCCACGGAGGGGACTCCCGCTCATACAGTTCTCCTCATGCACTTGATCACAATTCTGCTTACAAGAAGCAGGCGGCCATGGAGACTTTGAAGTCACATTCCAAGTTCATAGCCATTTACGATGAATACCTCGCACTAGACACTTGGCTTCCTCATGAGGTTCCCAAACTCCAACCTCTTGGTGATGATGAGAAGCGCAAGCCACAGGAATTTTTCACAAAATCACCATGCCCCTCCCGGGTACTAGTCACCCCAACTGGGAAGAAACGGAGGTTAAACTCGGACTCAGACTCGGACTCAGACTCGGACTCAGACTCGGACTCAAGCCACTCTTATGGCTGAAGCTGGTGTGTTTCGTCGCTTGGCCTTGATCATGCAATACACTACATACTTTTTGGATACCTACTTATCATGACTTCATAATAAATTAGGATAAACTAGGCGACATCGGTGTTACTTGCAATAAGTGTTCTTTGGCTTCACCTTACGTTTTGCCATCATTGTCTCTGGAGACTCCACATACTTGGACTATCATATGATGTAAAATTTGTGAGTAGTCTCGAATGTGACATCCTTTCATTTTACAAGCAGTTTACGTATGGAAGTTTGCTAGTCGGGTCAATGTATGTCCTACTTTCATATTTCTGATCGTTGTATAACGTGAAGGGTTATCTGGTCGCACACCTTCTCATCCCCTATCACTTATCACCCTATTGATCTCCACCGCTCTTCAGTCCACTGCTAACTGCATTATGCGTCAGGACATTGGCCCGTGACCACTGAGCAAGATCAGCATTTGCCAGTGTCCGGGTAAATGTTTTCCAAGACTTTGGCTGCTTCGAAAACACCCTATTCATTGTGGTGCCGTGCAAATCATTGGGGGCATTCCATATAAAATGGGTATTGACATCTAGCTCAAGAATGATCTTGAATTCAGCATACACAAAGTTGGATTCATCATCAAGGACCTGATAAGAGTATGTAAGATTATATTTGTTGCGGACAATGAATGACGCTAACTTTGTGTGAGCGGGCCGAAATCCATCCTACAGTAACTGAATCATCACGGTCAGTGTGCATTGCAGCACAGTAGCCATATGATGCAAATGCCTGCGTATTTGGAACCCCATAACGGTTAAGCAAGTGTGCCTCAGTCGCCTTTGCCTACAAAACGTGAGTCACGCAAATCATACACAAAGTATGCAGCATTACCAATTGCTCCTTAGCAAAATGAGGGAGAAACCCTTGAAGAAATGCAAAGTTGCATGCCTGTATGACTAAGGGAAGATCGGCGTTAATATTAACTAAGATAGATATAGCATGGATATACTTGGGCGAGCAGTCTGTATGCTTATTCTAAGGGATGATTGCACCTGGTGCTTGACAATGGTCCTGGCTTGTGCGTTTTCATGAATTTTGGCGACCTGGATTTCTGGCTGATTCAACAGGCCATTTGTAACAGCCATTCCCAGAGAGGATTTTACGAGTGTCCCATAATTCATCATTCCACGCTTGCAATTCTCGCGCGTTCTGGCGGTAGGTAAAACAAAATTTCAATGCAGATTATACCAAAGCCTACCTAATGTCATGCATCATAGCACGCATCTCAAGTTGAACACGTTCTTGTGTATGTTCGCTTGCGAAACTTGTCTCTTCGTGCGCATTATAAATAACCGCACCAAACTCAATCACTATGAGTTTGAACCCAATAACCGGATTGGTATGAACTCACAATCTTAGCCTCAGTTGGGCTCGTGTCATTCGCATGATCCTTCGCCCACAGAATGACACTCCGACGCTGTCCGTTGGTGGGTTTCTTGATACGCATCCAGCTACCGTCAACAAGAATGATGTCTTCAGGTTTGAAAGCATTGCTAGATAGCCCAAGTTCCAGAATCTCCTGGGACTCGACAACAATTTTGTTCCTCATGGTGGTGGTAACATCTCCGGGCACCCTAAAAATGATGGGATATGGAGTTATTCAAAATTGAGAGGCCTACCGGTCACACCCAATCCATTCTGCATTGCGGTATGCTAACTCCCCAAGGTATTGAGCAATAGCTATCTCATTCCGTTGGGTTCTAGAGTCCTCAATTGCAGTTCTAATTTCCACCGGGACGGCTTTGACTTGAGAAAAAGCAATGCTCGGCGCAGGGGCAGTGTCAGCCAAATGCTTTTGAGCCAGCTGGAAGAACATCGATAAAATTTGATCCATCAGAGCCGTCCGCTCTGGACCTAGGATTCGTGTGCCACCCTCAAACTGCACTACGTCTTAGCGTTTGTATTAAAAGTTGAAGCAATTCTCACTATGTCCCAAAGTTTGACAAAGCCGAACGTCTAAACAGTGTAAGTAATAAATTGCGTTCGGTTACCAAACAACTTACCCCAGCAGCTCGGAGGTCATGTGGGGATACCTGTTTACCATGTAGCTCCAGGTTCTTGAAGCGTTGGAGGTGGAGGCGGAGAATTTCTTGATAGAACGAATAGCCTGTAACGAGAGAAAGCCGGTGCTTCTCAACTTCCTCATCATCCATACACGGCCAATACTTGATAATTTCACCAAGGATATAATTTATACCTTTCTTTATATCTTTCTCTAGTGAATCAAAGTTGTGGTGGGTGAAGCTTGTACGGGAAAATTCAGCCCCAGGAGCGGTGGGATGGAAATTGCCATTAGGCAGAAGAATCAAGTCTGGAGGAGGCCAGTCAGTGAGTTGGGAGACGCGTGACAGCGGATAATTGAACCATATCCTGTTGCTGTTGCTATATATTGTGGGTGCGTTTTGCTAAACGAGTGCTCCCTATACGTCTCATTGGCTTTATGATTGCTATCATCGGGATATAGTGCTAGATCTGCATCCTCACACCCATCCAGGAGCACCAATGCGAAGGGATCTAGATTTGGATTGGTCCCCAAGTCGTTGCGAGCTTCAAGTGTGATGGAAGCAATACTCTTAAGGAGCGATTCTGGCGTTGCAAGAAGCGTGTCACCCCGCGGTGTTGGCACGCGATCGTTTATGCATCTTGGAGGATAGATGTGTTGGGAAAAGATTTGTTCGATGTGCGCTACGCCAATTTGTAGTGAATGAGGCCATCCTTCCCACGGTGTGTTATTAAACATCCATTAACTTGCGGTACCTCTAATTCGTTGAGCTCACAGTTCACTGCTGTATTCCTTTATGTCTTGGTTGAAAGGTAGAGTCCTCATTACCCCTTGTGCTTTGCGGTACCCACGAGCCCCAAAAGACACTTATAAAGTAGAGTGGGGCGAAGTTGTCTAACTTCGACTGAGTTGGTAAACTGTCACACCTCAACTTAATTAAATCATCTTAGAATGAAGCAGAAATTTGTGGGCACAAAATGAGCCCACACAACCGTCATGCAATCACACCCAGGTAAGTGGTCTTACCAAACAGTCCAGATGCTGGGAGATCGCTTGAAGTAACCTTGCAGGATAGGGGACTCCTTCCTCTGACCACCAGGACAATTGTACCTCTGATTAGGACGTATCCTCTAGTCATAGAGGCCGCACTGCTGAGGTGATGATACACCCAATCTATCATATCTTCTTGATCAGATGAGTATCACCCTGGTATAGTCACATTCACACATCAGAAGACGTACCAGATATTTGCTGCGGCCTCCTGGCACCCGTAAATGGTGTTGTTCTTTGTCATGGAAGAAAGAGGAAAATAGCCCAATGTACACTGGTAATGAGGATTTTTCATAAATGCTAGCTCGCCATAGACCAGGCTTTTGGCGGTAGTCAAGGGTTGCAGGGAAGCTTTTGGCACCGGTTTACATTTTTGATAATAAAATCTCATCAACGGAGACAGGGTGGTCCAATTGGATTGAAACTCAGGACGGATTCGGTGTTAACGCCAATCGGTGTCGAGCACATAATGTACGGTGGAAAATGAAACGGGTATGGCCCTAAGTAGTGAACCGGGAATTTCCGACGGAGTTTGATTCACTATTTCATTGGGTACGAGGCCATTTGCATTTTCTTTCCCGAATCTCATCATATATACAATGTAGAATCGATGTAACAATATGTAAAAACATAATCCTAGACGTTTAAAACTTGTACAATGCAAGGTGTGCAAGTGCCTTGACGCCGATGTGATGTAGAGCACGGTCACCAGAATGACGCCGATTGATCTGATCAGGATCAATGATCTGATCAGAATCAACGATCTACTGGTTCCGCCCTATAATACGGTAAGTATCGCGGTTTGGCTGTCCGTCCAATGTGATTCACTTTGTGTTTATGGTTCCACAGATCTTATGAATCTCATGGGGTGAGAATTAAGTGGCGTAGGTGACGTTCGGTATGTTGAATCTATCAAGGCGTCAATTTTAAACTAACTCTTTGCAAGGGCTTAGAAGCAAGTATGTGAATTTGCGACCTCAACCCCATTGTTCATGTTGGCCTACGTACCACGCTCGCCATTAAATCAGGAGGAGCTGACTGCTCCGCTCGAAGCTCTGTCCCTACCAAAGGTTGCTTTGAGTTTGAACAAGTATTTTCAATACGTATTGCATAATAAGTCTGATTTGGACAACATCTAATTTGAATAGTGAGTGCAGGTAGGGAAAGTGTAGGTATGATAGAATTGATATTCTCGTACTTCTATGTTCATGGAGGGATAAGTTGAAAGGGCTGCAGAATCAAATCAAAACATAACATATACAAGTTCGTACAGTCCGGCCATCACACTACCACTATCATCTCACAACACATACAAGATGGTTGGAGGCGCAATACCAATGCATTGTGTACGTGTGTACGTTCTAATCTTACTCGTTACCATTACCTCTGTTCAATGTGCTGTCAGACGCTCGAGCCATTACAACAAGAACGAGGGATTGATGAGATGGGGGTCCAGTCGGACGTAAGCTCAGATGAAGCGTACTTGGTATGTCCATTTTTCGTTTTACTTACAACTCACTAACAAATATGCAGAGAACGGTCGGGGAACAAGACCTCATGAACGTCGATATAAACGCAGACGAACCGTACCTCGTATGTCCATTTCAATTCATCTTCTTTACAACTCACTAACAAATATGCAGGGAACGGTCGGGGAACAAGACCTCATGAACATCGATATAAACTCAGACGGACCGCACCTGGTATGTCCATTTCAATTCGTCTTACTTACAACTCACTAACAAATATGCAGGGAACGGTCGGGGAACAAGACCTCATGGACATCGATATAAACTCAGACGGACCGCACCTGGTACGTCCATCTCAATTCATCTTACTTACAACTCACTAACAAATATGCAGAGAACGGTTGGAGAACAAGACCTCATGAACGTCGATATAAACGCAGACGGACCGTACCTCGTATGTCCATTTCAATTCGTCTTCTTTACAACTCACTAACAAATATGCAGGGAACGGTCGGGGAACAAGACCTCATGAACGTCGATATAAACGCAGACGAACCGTACCTCGTATGTCCATTTCAATTCGTCTTCTTTACAACTCACTAACAAATATGCAGGGAACGGTCGGGGAACAAGACCTCATGAACGTAGATATAAACGCAGACGGACCGCACCTGGTACGTCCATTTCAATTCGTCTTACTTACAACTCACTAACAAATATGCAGGGAACGGTCGGGGAACAAGACCTCATGAACGTAGATATAAACGCAGACGGACCGCACCTGGTACGTCCATTTCAATTCGTCTTACTTACAACTCACTAACAAATATGCAGGGAACGGTCGGGGAACAAGACCTCATGAACGTCGATATAAACGCAGACGAACCGTACCTCGTATGTCCATTTCAATTCGTCTTCTTTACAACTCACTAACAAATATGCAGGGAACGGTCGGGGAACAAGACCTCATGAACGTAGATATAAACGCAGACGGACCGCACCTGGTACGTCCATTTCAATTCGTCTTACTTACAACTCACTAACAAATATGCAGGGAACGGTCGGGGAACAAGACCTCATGAACGTAGATATAAACGCAGACGGACCGCACCTGGTACGTCCATTTCAATTCGTCTTACTTACAACTCACTAACAAATATGCAGGGAACGGTCGGGGAACAAGACCTCATGAACGTCGATATAAACGCAGACGAACCGTACCTCGTATGTCCATTTCAATTCGTCTTCTTTACAACTCACTAACAAATATGCAGGGAACGGTCGGGGAACAAGACCTCATGGACATCGATATGAAATCAGACGGACCGCACCTGGTATGTCCATTTCAATTCGTCTTCTTTACAACTCACTAACAAATATGCAGGGAACGGTCGGGGAACAAGACCTCATGGACATCGATATGAAATCAGACGGACCGCACCTGGTATGTCCATTTCAATTCGTCTTCTTTACAACTCACTAACAAATATGCAGGGAACGGTCGGAGAAGGAGACCTTATGAATGTCGACACTAGTTGGATGGACATCGACTGAGGACTCATATGCCACTAGCTAAGTTTTAATGATGCTGTATTCTAGTCCGTTTCACGTTCATGCTGTCACTGATTGTACTACCATATATTACACCCCACTCATACCAAGTTTTTGTTTTGCCACACAATAATCCCCAACCCTCGATGCTATTCCTGGACCCAAGTAGTTCGTAGACCCAATGGTACGGCCAGAAACCACTCAAGGCTACTTCCTCAACTTGTCCTACTTTCTCGAATTCAATGATGTTTGTATACCAATCGCATTTGTTCAAATCGGTTGTTCTTTCAGAAATAAAATCTCTCGCTGCGCTGGCTTGCTTCAGGTTCGTGAAATCAAGCACTTCGTCAACCAAAACCACGAAGAATTCCATGAAATGCGCGATACCATGCTTAGCCTCCATCATTTCAGCTTGTATGTCTTGCTCTGGGCTTAGGCCGCTGGCCCTGCTCCAACGGACTGGCCAGCCACCGGAATTCAATAAAAAATGACATACGAGCCATCAACTAAATTGGAATGGTTTGTATAGCGTGTATTATGTCCATGAGCTACGACGGCCAAAAAAAATTAGCAAAAACACTATTGACAATACGAGATGGTTCAGTTTCTGGTATCGGCATACTATATATACTACTGGTCGATCCCCCAAATTAGTGGCTGGTCCTCTTTTTTTTCCCACTGATCTCATTAGTGCCAGCGGTGGTGACCCTAGAATCGTCATCCCAATCACGCATAGTTCTCTTGAAAGATGACGGGGAGGAAGATGATGGGGTGCTGACCGCAGTTGAAAAATGGGAAGTGGCGCCTCCAAGGACAGGGAGGGGCCTTGCCTTGACATAAAGATTTTTCGCCAGACGGTCCGCTGTGCGCTTGCCCATGAGATATACAATTGCGTCATACCCTCCATAAGGGCCGCCGGTCTTGATGAGACGGATCACCTCCCCATGCTTTTCAGCAATCTCGGAGGATGTAAGTGCCCGGATATCAGTCCCCCACTTGGAAGAGAAACAAGCGCGGGCAGTACAAGCTTTAGCCAGACCCAACCTGCACAGAGCGAGCGTGGTAATGCCTTTGTTAGCTAGTGGTGCAGATATCAGCTAGCTGAAGATGATAGAAAACTCGGAAATGACAAACTGACAGTGCTTGGCGACCCACTCCTTTAAGTCCAACCTCAATGATGTGGGCGACTCCGGGTCGTACAAGGCGATTATGAAAGTCGTCACCATCGTAATGAAAGGGTCTGCATTAATACCACCCCTTTTGGGGCGGGAAACCCACTCTAGGTTTCGGATGTATGTTGCCAATTGGTGAGGTTCTTTTGGGATCCCAGTCTTCTGAAATGCGGGTGCGTAGACGCGCGGGACCAAACCGGAAAAGGCAATGGATACAATGAGGGAGAGATGGTGAATGGGAACCAAGGGATTGAAGGTAGTTTGTACGTAGTTGTAAGTGTCAATGATATATTGGGGACAAGATGATATAGAAGCCAAATCGGTATTCCATTCGATAGGCAAAATGACTTTGTGCACAACCGAGGCGAAATCATTGAGGCGGACCTCACTAGCGGACCAATCTCCACGGGAATCGCGGAGCTGCACTTGCGCTGAGCTGTTCAAGGCAGCCACTTGGATAGACTCTCGCCTCGTGAGAAAAGATGCTGACGGGGCAGGTTTTGGGCGGCTGGCAGCTCCAAGATTGAGCCATACATCATGAACAATGGTGGAAGAAGGATTGCCCCTATCACCTGTGGGATTGGCTGACCACGGAATGTGATTTATTTTGAGTGACTCGCAGACGTGAGAGATGGCTTCTGAGACAAATAAATCAACGTCCTTGCCCTGAATAGAGTCCCGACTCGCACACCGCTTCATTTCCTCGATAGCGACGCGCATCACGGCAAGAAAGTTGCCTCCAGCGATGAAGGGAGGTTGACGCCGAACGGAATTGGTGCTTTGTTTAATGACAATGTCGACAAAGAAGGAGATAGGTTTGTTGCCCAGATATGATGATGTAAGCTGAAGCGCGCCATTCCCATCATTTGTGTTGACAACGGCCCTGAGAAGATATGTGAGGGGGTTGGAATAGGAAAGAGGGTAGTCTTCATCCAGCCATCGGCTCAGCGCTGTCTGCCTGTCTTTAGCAACAGAGCGCGCATGTCTATTATCTCCTTCAAGGGCTGGTTTGATCTCACGCAAAACGCTATCATGGACCAGATGTTTGACATCGTCAAAATAAACCCTAAATGCTATTTCGGCTGCGTAGCACGCAATCCTCATTGCATGATTGTTAACATGGGGATATATGTTTGCTGGCAAGAAGTTGATGGCGTGCCTAATGGTGAATCGGGCCTCGTAAGCCTATGCAAAAAGGTATGTTAGCTGCTTTTGTGCTGAGATTTATATGCAAAAGATGGGCAATTTTTGGGAAATAAAATACTTACCTCGTAATGTTCTTTGCTGTATGTCAGTTCCTGGGTCCTGCGAGACGATGTGAGAGGGCGCCGCGTTTCCTGATCCACTGGCCATGATTCCTGTCGGATGACCAGCTTTCCAGTGTTGAGACTTCCGTAGGCTACAAAAGTGTCCGATATAGAGGGTAATCCGTCATGAATGATACCCAGCGAAATCCAAGCTCTATCCATTAGTCTCCGGCTCAACACGCGCGCATTGCCGGTGTGGCTGAAATTGAGTGCCCGCTCGATCATTGATGTAAACTCAATAACGCAGGGATCGATCACTGCGCCATCAACTAGAGTGTTGCTGTGCGTTTCCCAAATAGTTTCCAACAGAGCGGTCAAGGGAAAAGTGGCCCATGCAAATAGTGAAGGGATGCGCTGAGACAAACAGTGAACCTCCCGAAAAAGGACAAATAAGCTGATGACATACATTTGGCTGGAAGACCACAATGGTGTCTTTGATGGGAGACAGGACAGTGGGATGGCTCCAAACTTTGAGTAGCCGCCTTATGACATGGTCATATATCGCTAGTTAGTCAGTCAAATGTAAATGAGCTAGAATATCATGGAGAGGGGCGGGAGACTAACATTCCATTTCGAAATTCCTCTTTCATCCGATAAACATCCAGTGTGTACGTATTTTCAAATCGGAGAGCCTGAGGCTGGTTGTCACCGGACACCTTGTCGTTGAATCGTTCATGGGGGAGACTATGGTTGCATTGCTGGAGACGTCGAGTCCAGCGGTTTCTGGCAGCGTTTTTGGCAGTTGTTCCTGAAAGAGCAGCGGAAATCATGCCAAGTTGGACAGGGTGAAATTTTGCCTCATCACGGACGCGATGAGACAATTCGTTGTAAACCTGGCAATTGATTCCGTGAAGAACAGAAGCACCATGGACAGGATCATCTGCAACAATGTCATCTTCAGCACGATTGTCGTCATCACCTATGAGGGGTGGGCGAAGAACGCTATCAATCTGAGTAAGATGCGGGAGGAAATCTGATATGAGGCTGCGAGACTGGATGTTGCCAAGCGTCTTGGTACATGCAAGGGGATACATGTCAAAGTGAGCCTTCTTGCGAGTATTTCCGTGAGCGTCGTCATCAGAGCGGAAGAGTTCATGGACAGAATGAAGGTTAAGTAGTGCCCCGCAGGTGGAGAATTGCACTGGAGCGCGCCGAGGGATTCTGAAGCCCTGCTCGTTATAGACGTTGATCTCGAACCCATCTTCGTCAAGTAAAGGAAGGTCCTCCAGGTTGACCTCAGCCCTCATGGGGTCGCCGCTGGATTTGTCATAGATGACACCATGCCCATTTTGCCAGTTTGGAACCTCGCGCCATTCCCTGACGTCGAGATAGCTGTCAGAAGCCCATCAGCATTGTGCCAAAGAAGTACTAAAGGAGGAATGTGTACATACCTTATATGAGTCGCCAAAGAGAAGGTAAAACTGCCGAATATGGGTGTAATTGCGATCGTTGTCCCAATTTCTGCGCTCATCATCGAGCGCTCCATGGACGAGGAGGGGCTGATTTTGGCCATACCGGATAGTGACGCCCACAGGCGCATTGTTCGCGAGGAAATTATCTTCCTTCCATTCTAGAGGCGCCTGCTCCACCCATTCATTCCAGTCGGTGTGAAGGATACCACTGAGTCGCTTGAAATCATCCAGTCGCAGAATGATACGCCGATGATTTTCATCCATCCTCCCCCTTAAAAGTAAGAAAGCCACATAAGAGTGAGACTGATGCGAGTGTAAAAAAAACTTACAAAATATCCGTTGAATCCTTGACAGCGGCACGAGTGAGAGGAACTGGATAGCGCTCTCGGCAGTGGATGTCCTGGAGGCGCATCTCATCAAGTGCATAGGCGATGAACATAATGATCATCAATGCATGGTTTTGAGTCAGGGCGGTGCTGGGGGCATTCAGTGCTGGGTACGTTGCTTTGGCATTATCAGGGTGGTTTGGTTCGAAAAACGATGTAGGAACTAAAGCTATCCATAGTTGCTCCTGTAGGCGCGTTCCGATATACACCATGCGACCGATGGGGTTGAAAGGGAGACAGGCGACATTGCTATCAGGCCACAATCGGTGCGTGTTGGCAAGGTCTAGGGTGACCTGCCAGTTGTGATCTGCTCGAATTTTAGGGATTGCTGCGTCTAGTCCCCGGCGATTGCCAACATAGAGTGTGTGATCTATATAATGAGGACCGACGCGAGGAATGACATTGGGGCCATCTTTTGGGATGGTATGCTCATTGCCGATAGCAAGCCTGTGGCGTCCGGACAACATGCCCATTGCACCTAAGGAGTCCTTGTTGCGGTACATCGTGCGCAATTTTGTCAGAGTGACTGTGCGAGGAGGGGTGGTATTGAAATTTGCCACATAATCCCGATCGGACTCTGCTTGCTGCTGATATAGGGCTGTATGAACGTCCTCTTGAACATGCCCATCTCCAGCCACTAGCTGCTGAGGAAATTCGGACACGTCGAAAGGGATGTTATTGGGTTGTTCATCCTCATCAACATGATCACGGTCATCGCCCACTGGGTTGTCATCATGGTTGTCATTCTGATCCCTACAAGAATGAAGGGGATGAACGCCGAAAACTTGAAAGAGGGGTCCAACAGAGCAGCTCACCGTGCAGCCTGCAACAGATCCATGCTATAGATAAAATTCCTAGATACTAATTGTATGGGTTGTAAGTGTCAAGTTGGAGCAGATGCTGGCAGTCAAGGGAAGGTCACCGGCAGAGTCAACTTGAGGTCCGAACAAAGACTGTCTTACTCAAATGTATTGAAACGCGGGGACCTTGCGTATATTACAATAATCGGAAGCGAGTTGACGTGTGGGCATGCAACGCTTGGGTGAGTAGCCTCCAATCAGGCTACACTAGTGTCCAAATCCTCCGCATGAAACTATTCCAGATTACGTACCAGGTTAGCCCAGCGTCATGTAGTTCAGTGTCGCGTAGGACCCCCCAAGGCAGGAGGATGTATACCCTGCCATGTTGGAATGTTACTGGGGATTCCTGTGGACTTGTGTAAATAATATGTTAGGGTCCAAACCTCCGAATTGGGCGAAAGTGCGGCGCCTATTGAACTGATTCATAGCCGTATATCATTGATTGTGATGCCAAGAACTTCTTCCTTCGTTCAAGTTTACTATAAATTCTGACATTGATTGTTATCCTCAGCTTGCAACTATGCATGTATAAGGTGTCTCAATGCCAATCACCCCAAGTGTGCCATCTTATTTTGATTTCCCATGCTTACATGTAATACCAGACGTCGGCGTTGTCGTGGAGGCTTTGTATGACTCAATAGCCCCTGGATTATTCAGCTGCATGAACATCATTTGGAGCTAAGCGCTGAGAAGCAAAGAAGTGGATCTTATAGAAGACACTATTATGGCACTCATACATCTCACCTTTGAGCACATTATAGTGACTCAGGTCGACTTTATCCTACCCTCCGTCAACCTCGACGTGAAACTCAAGGGTCGATCTGGTAGTCAGCCGGAACCCACTCGTGCGACTGGTCAACCTGAGACTACTGGGTCCATCTTACGGATAATCATCGGTTGAAACCGATTTTTTGACGACATCACTGGCTACCACTGCCGTAGGGTCACCCTTATCTAAGACAGGAGAAGCACCTCAGGACAGTTTTCTCGCGTAACGAATGCTGATTCGTACATTACACATGACACACAGGAACAATCCAAAGAGTCACGTATCCCGTAGAACGCAGGAGGAGGTAGGCAGGGACCATCGTGCATCGGTGGTACACTCATCGTACTGGAAGGTTGTCCAATTGTTATAAAGAATTTTCCAAATATGCATGTCCATTACTGTCAGTCAAGCAATTGGTCGAAGCGTGCACAGACATCACTGAGCTAACAGTGATGTGGTGTTTGCGTTCAGACCGGACATGATTGACTGCCGCATCCTGCGCGACGCTGGGCTCTCTGCAAGAAGTTTGTTCTAATGTAAGCCTCAAAATGTATGACACGCACGAGTGAAGTCCCTGGGTGAACGGAGGCAGTTGTTTACGATTGGCTGACCTTGTAATCGATGGGCAGCTTGTCACTGCAGGAGGAAGTTTGGGCTGGCTGTCAGCGGACGTGTTCACTGCTCGCAGTCGAGTTATAACTCGAAGTCTACCCCCGTACGGGGTGCGAGCCAATGGTCCTCAATTACACCAACGCCAGAAAAACCAATAGAACGCCGTAGTATATAGCATGTACTGTCTACATCGGGCTTTGCCCTAAGAAGACATTAAATAGGATTTTTTTAAAAAAAACTCGAAGTCTGCATGGAAGTCGTCAAGACTGTCATGACATTTGAAGAAGTCATGATATCCTACGGAATGTCTAGCTCACTGCAGGGAGATTATTCCAGTGTAACAGAGTTCAAACGGCGCACTGCTTACCAGATTGTCAGCTTGGGCTTTACAGTAGTCGAGGACAGAAGCAACGTAGTGTCGCATTGTTCCCTACAGTGTCTGATATCGATTGCCCGAGCATTTCAACGCTGCAGAAACCAGATTCTGCCCAACCTTGCTTTCCATCTCCCAATATCGAAGCCAGGTGCACACAGTTCGCTGATACGTCAACTTTGTTGTCCTCAAATTTCGGGATGCTGGATAATTTTAGTAAGTCAAATACAGTGTAAGAGTTACATACAACGGTCCCTGGTCACACAATGATTAGGAGTCCCTTGTAGGTGATTGGCGCCTGCAAGAGGAGTCTGATTTCATCTAGTCGAGGGTCAAGGATATATATATATTATATACAGTATTAGAAAACGCACATCAGGTTTGCTCCGAGCAGCATGTGAATCAATATACTTGAACGTGGAAGGGAATGAAATCACAGTTGGGAGTAGTCACCTCATTCTTCGCGTTGACCAGAAGATCATTTTCTGCTGCTATGAGGATATCCTCAGGTATCTCCCATTGCGAGATTTTCTCGTCCCAGCCGCCACTGAATATAGAGCGTCCATCCACCGAGAATGCAAGATGAAACACCGGATCTGAGTGCTTTAATCGGGCGAGTTCTGTGCCCATGGGAAACCGCCACAATCGAATATCGGGCCGCCAGACGTGCAAGGACGCTATAAGCATTAACGGGACATTATCACACGTGTCCTTCGTCCGCGTCATCCCCCGCGGACGCGCATATTTGTCCAACTTATCTGCATTCATTTCCCAGTTTAACTCGACTTCGCCGCCAGGCACCCACTAAATCGACCTTCAAGCTTAAGCTTCAGTGGTGGTTCACAACCCTTTCACACGCTTCACCAGCTCGGAACTTCATGCCACGAGGAGCGACGCAAGATTTAGATTTGAGAGTGGACGCTTCAACGAAATGGAGGATCGGGTTGATTATGGGTGGCCGTTGGAACTTCTGCACGGACATTGAAAGATGGCTGGAAAGGATGCGGACGAGATATCGGTTGCTGTTGCAGCTTGCGCCTTACATAATAATTGTCCTTTCCTTATCTGAACTTCCATTAAATCCCCGTCATGTGCAAAATACACGAAGGGGTCGTCCTACTCGTCGTCCATCGAGTGCAAACGCTCGGGTCAATCGCTTCCCTTATCGTTAGCACGCAAATGCTCGCTGGTAACAAGCTGGTAATGTTCTTACTTGGCCCTTTTGGGTAAAACCGCTTCCTTCGCCATACCTCGTCCCCTCCCTTCAGTATTTTATAGGTGTGTTACTTTTATTGATATTCTGTTTCTAACACGCGTAGACACGTCAGATTTCCACCCTTGAAACCACCCTTACCCTACCAATACACCAACACCTGCTCACCTCAATGATCTATTTTCGTTTGGTTTGTGTCTTGGTGGGACTCGGATGTCATCGAGCACGCGCCGTAAGTTGCAACCTCCGTCACAATGCAACCGTGTCCCCTATGTGTCACAAAGGAGACGTTGTACCGCTTGGGTACGTCGTTCCTTTCAACCTTCCAACTTCATTCCTGTTTGCTTACTTGATAATTATGCAGCTATACTGTAAACTCCACGCCCAAAGCAGCACGACATCCCAAATTCTGTTGACATGCATATGCGCCATCTCCGAACTCTAGCTGGAGAATGTCGACTTCCGCCATTGACGGGTATGTCAATTCAGTTGTTACGTGCGCACGTACTCAATATAGTTTTAACCAAAATCTGCGCTACCCAAAGTCGGTTTGATGACTTTGCGAATCGCCAAAAAGCAGACGAGGACAGCATCCCAATGAATCTCAGGTATGTATCGTTTGATATATGTTCTACTTTCTAAGATCTGAAGTGTTCAATCATGCAGAGGGCTTGAGAATCGGGTCTATACACCCGGTGTTTGGCTCTAAAATTGACGTCTCCAATTCAAGTGCACTAGCAAATTTCCTTCAACGAAACTCTTCATGGGTGAGTTTTAAGTTTTCGATCATTCTCCTTTTGAGTGTTTATCGCTCATGCGAACGCAGATGATCAATGCCATCTGTATCCACCCACGTCACACCACGCTCAAATCCTCCAACGCCAGCTCGCTTTTGCTCCTCCGTCGCGATGTTCCTCGCTTCATGGTGTCGCAATGTATCTTGTCTATTATGACGCCTTATATTTTCCTCGGTTTCATTCCGCTGTGTATGCGTCTGTCGCCAACTTTTGCTCGTCGTTAGAAGACTCTTTGTCGTTTCACTCTTCCCGGTATGTGTACTTAGACGAACCAACATGTTGCGATCATCTCCTTTGTCGATTTTGGCACGACAATTCATATCACAATTTCTTCCAGATAAAACTCGTGTTTTCAGGCAACGGTACTCGCACTGACAGCAAGTACTTGTAGTCTTCGCAGCAATCTCTCCCATCGCCATCGCCTGGCTTCCGTCTTCCCCCCTTGTTTTTGGTTCGCCGCTTCTGGAATGTCATCTCTCGACATCGCCTACCGCCAGACAAGTCTGTTCCACCAGAATGCTCCAAGCGTGGTTTCTTCAGTCATCGTGTTCGCTCAAACTCATCCGTGGAGCTTGCAGCCATTAAAACCAACCATCCAGTACCAGAAGTTGAAGGGGGAGAAGGGGAAGGTGAGAAACGTGAAACTGTTGATGATGTGAGTGTTGTTTTGGCTTTCGCATACTGTCATCTTAACACGACGGCTGTCAGCGTGGTTCCGTGCATGCCTCGCTTAGATAAAGACAAACAGCGAGGCAACAACGTGCAGTGCTCACTGTCTGATAATCATACTCATCCTGCCCACCCGGATAGCAATCGAAACCTCTTGAAACGACTAATGCAGGCTCGAGGCAAAATTTTGGGTCCCTGTATTCCAGCACTCGACCTGCAAATGCACCCCAACACAATACCGTGCAATTCCTGGCACTGCACTCGCCATGTTTCTTCGCACGCCTCAAAACATGCCGAAGAAAGTGGTGAAAAACGACCAAAATACAGATGATACGCTATGATACGATTATCGATACTACAGCTGAAGAGGCCCCGACAAGTGACGCGTTGCACCCCAGCACGGCTGCTCACGTCCAATCCGATCTTAAGACCACTCTTTCGACCCAGATAAAGTAGAAGAACAGTCACTGCAGAACCTTGTCGATAAGTATCAGGAGAAAACGGAGAAAGAGACACTCAGAACAATTAAGGTAGACGATACTTGGTGTCACAGTCGCTATGAAATCGTGCTGATCAGTCTATCTTTATCAAGGCCATTGAGGTTGACCGGCGGTTCTCTAAGACATTGCCTTCATTGCAAGTTGACTCGCTCTAGTAGAGCGCATCTTCAAATTATATTGGGAGAGCCCGAGTGTGAGCTGGTGTCCTGCAACCCGTTGTCACAATAGGCGCCTTACCGTTCTTTACAGGCGAGAGAAAACTCTTAGAGGAGACAGAAGAGAAACTAGTGACGCGACTTGGAATTACCTATCGTGTTCTGAGAAGGTTAGGCTTTTCACAGGACATAGTAGATGAATGCCTCAGGGCAATCCAAGGAGTAGATCTGGAGGAAGCATACGAATGGGTTCGTCTATCCTCTACCTCTCAAGCCAGCGCTTACATTCCTGCAGCTTTACACTTACTGCTCGGAAGATGAACTTGAAGAGAGAGGTGAGATGATTGTTGTTCAAGTTTACAATTGTAGTTCTAATTCGCGTGTCAACAGTGGCTGAGGACCTTGACGACTCGAAAGTGCCTCGGAGAAAGCGTAAAGAGCTTCAGTCTCCGACGTCAAGAAGTCCTTTGCCGTCATCCACCCCCTTACCACTTTCTCCAGTAGTGACAGCTGCATCAAAGCTCGATGCGAATGCTTTGGTGTTTGTGCCAGCGAGACATTGGCCAGCCTCAGATTTAGACTTGCTGAAATCTCGAGATATTCATCCCGCCGAATCGACGAGGTCTTCTCCGTCGAGATCCAGTTCACCTGATATAGACGACCTGGTTGCAGAGTACGTCCGTATAAAGATGCAGATACAGATCTTACTGCCAGAGGCAAGCCAGCGCCTCACTGTGACCCTGTACTGGTCCAGCGTCTCCAAGACAAGCTTATGGCTTTGAAATCGCACTACTTCTTTAATGAAAAAGATGCAGAAACGCAGTATCGGTCAGAACGTGCTAGGGTTGACGCCCTTTTACTCCAGTCAAGATTACGAGAATCGAGTCCAGAGCTGTCGGTGGCACAAGAGAAGAAAGTGGCAAAACCCCTCAATGCTGGTCCGTGTGTTGAAAAACAAGATATACATGTGCCGTCTGACATCCCCGATATCTTTGACCAACACGAGGAGGGTCTCGGTAGCATGCTTGAGATATTGGATACCCTTCCTTCCGAAATTGCTGGAGAGGGAGGGACCATAATTCGCATACGGGACATGATCTTACCCAAGCACTGGTCCAGTAAAACACCGAAGACACTTCTAGCCGAGTTTGTCTTCAAGGTTGACCGGTACGCCGCAGTCACTTACAGTATTGTTTCTGGGCCAAGTCGTGCGAAACGTGCATGTGTTACGGTCAACTGGGAGGGGGGAAAGATGGATGAGTGGAACATGCGCGATGTTGCCTGTCATAATGATATCCAGGCAGAGTACTATGTCGCAACGCTTGCTTTACACGCTCTTACATTCCCTGCCACTGATGGCTTTGCGGTCGGGTCTTCTGGTGCTTTAGCCAACCATACGTCGTTCCGGTTACTCCCGCCTGTCTTCAGGGATTTATGGGATGAGTTTGAGACAGAAAGTTATGGGAATATCTCATCAATTGCTAAGTCTGGGCGAATATGAGAAACATTGTTGAAAAAAGATTGATGCTTGTCCAATGGCAACGCTCCTCGTTGAAATACCTGTTTCTCACACTGAGCTTTGCTTTCTAGTTCAAGATGGAGAAGAATACGAGGGTCACCACAGAAGCCAAAGACCCCACACCAGTTCGGCTTCCGCCTCGCAATGACACTGGCTCTGATCATATCATTGCGGACTTCAGAACGCGACAAATGCGACCTGCATATCAGGAAATGCTTGTAAGTGGGGCTCCAGAAGTGAAGGTTTAATCTACATTTTTAAGCTCTCTTTCGTAGTACTATCACCGCAAGCAGCTTCCTATTGCGAAGTATAGAGATGACATTCAATCTACTCTTGACCATTCACAGATCCTCGTGCTCAGTGGCGAGACTGGCTGGTAAGGTGACATTACGTCTTGAAAGGCACACCTTACTTATTCTCTGGTTTTACAGCGACAAATCAACACAAATTCCTGCGTTCATTTTAGAGGATCAGCTGGCCGTGGCCTCCCTTGCAAGATATACTGCACGGAACCGTGTCGAATATCAGTGATTGCTCAACGAGTTTCTCGTGAGCTAGGCGACTCTGTTGGTGCCATTGGAACCTCGAGCTTGCTTGTCGGATATTCGATTCGATTAGAAAGCAATACTACGCGGAATACTCGTCTAGCGTTTGTCACGAATGCTATAGAGTACGCAGATTGGTCCACCCAGGAAAACTCACCGATTAATCGTGAGTCAGCTTCTAAACTTTCCTTGCAATACGCTCACTTATTCGAATAATTCATCAGTACATAACAAATCCCACAAGAACAGGAACAGGAACAGGTTTGATTGGGACGAAGACACTGTCTACGGCAATGATGACGAAGAGACGCTAGTCGATGGCGGACAGCAGAATTCAAGCCAGTCTATGAGGCTGGAGAAGCGTTACTCTTATCAAACGATTAACACCGTCAATCTTCTTGATGAGCGCGCGATTCCATACGAGTTGATTCTTCATCTACTAGAACGCCTCTGCTTTGAGGACAAAGAGAGGCATCATTTTTCAGCGGGTGTTCTAATTTTTATGCCTGGTTTAGGGGAAATTCGGCGTATGAACGATCTTCTTACCGAACATCATGCATTTGGGGATGAAAACAGCTTCAGGTGATATCCATTGCATTCTACACTGTCGAGCGACAATCAGAGCGCAGTCTTTGACATCCCTCCCCAGGAAGTTCGTAAAATCGTTATAGGTTCTTATTTGCATCTGCTCCTCGAAGCCAAGCACCATTGCTCATTACTCTTTCGCACCGACCAACATTGCTGAGACAGGTATTACTATGCCTGACATTACCTGTGTCATAGACACCAGCAAACATCGCGAGTTGAGGTCGATACCCCTCCCTCTTGGAGTCAACTGACTGTCCTTAGGTTTGACGAAAAGCGCCAACTCAGTCGTTTGGTCGAAACGTTCGTTGCCAAAAGTAATGCTGCTCAGCGTAGAGGCCGCGCAGGACAGGTGCAGAATGGATTATGTTTCCACCAAGATTCGTCATGATACATTGGTAAGACTTGCGCATTCCTGAGCTGTCTCTTTTGCTGAAAACCTGTACTTAGTTGGCAGATCATCCTTTGCCAGAGATGATGCGCTTCAGTTTATCAGACCTCGCCCTGCACATCAAAATTATGAAGGTGAAAATTGGTACCTCCATCGCGGATGTGTTATCCCGCGCACTGGATCCTCCTACGCCAGTCAATGTGCAAAGAGTTATCTCAGCACTAGTCAGGTTTGTCGACACCAGAACCCTCGTGTTTACCTTTCACATCTGTCATTTAGATGCGCGCTCTTACACCGTCAGAGGACATCACTCTGATGGGTAGGCTTCTGAGCATGTTACCCACAGACATGCATCTAGGGAATTTCTTGCTCACTGCGGTATTGTTCCGATGTCTGGACCCCGCTCTAACAATTGCTGCTGCAAGTCCCCGTTCACAGTACCAATGGGTATGGAGCAAGAAGCGGACCGTGCCAAGAGTTCGTTCTGCATTGGTTAGTTGTGCACTACACTATAAGAAAATGAACTTACCTCCACTTTTCAGATAATTCGGACTTCTTGACGATCAACAATGCATTTTCGAGTTGGCGTAGAGCATCCGAGAATCTCAGTTTCGTGCGCAAGTTATGTCGGGTTAATTTCCTTAGCACTAGAATCTTCAACAGATCGAGGGGTTACGTCAACAATTCCTAGGGTATGATGGTTTTGATACATAATCACTGTTTGACTGAGAAGTCCGTTGCAGCTTGTTAGTCGACTCTTCGTTTGTCATCGTTTCATTCGGGAACTCGGCCAGTATGTAATAGTGTGTCTAACGCCTCCCCATTACTGATGCTCCTATGCAGTGCGCGTTTCGGTCGCAACCGCACGCGCTTCGTGAACGTGTCGCTGCTTCTGGATAGCAATGGACCTAATATTGCTCTCATCAGCTCGGCTCTCACTGCGGGACTTTATCCTAAAGTGCTGGCGATTGACTCTTCCTCTGGGCAAATGTGCACTATATCGAATAACCAATTTGCTGCTTTTCACCCTACTTCCGTTAACTTTGGCAGGAAGCCCGCTGACTTTGGTGTTCACCATCTCGTTTACTTCACGCTCATGTGATCGCACATTATGATGATGGTGACAAGTACTGACAGAAGTTTACAGGCACTCCAAGAAGATGTATGCTTGGAAGACCGGACCCATCGACGATCTCGCTATCGTGCTTCTATGCGGGGAAAGTGAATTCAAGGTCAGTACAACGTCCCACGTGAATGAGACATTGGCATCATAGCACTATACCCAGATTCACTCTAACATGTTGTCCATCGATCGGAAAACCGGATATCAGCTCGCCGCCAAAGCTAATGTTGTGCTCAAGATTCTTTGCAACAATTTCGAACTAAATCTATCGACCAAAGTCTCAGATACCCCCTTGGGCAATGGCAGTGATAAATTTATCGTGTACTGCGACTACCACAAAGCGACGTATGCGACCAACATGTGATTGCAAGCGCCCGTTGTTGTGATGTGCCCAAAGGTCAACAGCACTAATCACTTGATACAACTTGTGTACGAATTGGGTGGTCGGGAATCATGGATTGCAAACATCAAACTGGTGCGATAAGAACCTGTGAATGGACTATTAAACACTGCCATCTTATGTTTCTGGGACGACCCTCACGAGACATAAAGGTGAATTTCCTTGTCTTGAACAGACCATCACATAAAAAGGAGGTTTTGGCGCAATGACTGGGCCTAGTTCGTTAAGACTGACCTCCAAGCATCTATACACCTGGCACCACAAAAATATTGACAGCAAACTTCGAACCAACTCCAAGAGAAACAGATTTCGACTCTGTTGTGCTAAGACGTCCAGTTAGAAGAACCTCTAAAGAAACCATCCATGTCACAGAGGTGTGTTCCGATAGAAAACAAACCTGCGCGGTCCAGGTTCAGACGAACCTCCAAAGAACTATCCGTGAGCAGTGCTTGATAAGAGGGAAATTCATTCGCCAGCAGGTTTCAAATCTGCACCACTAAGAGACTGTCGCTACGAACAACGTGTAAAAATGACTAGTTGATGACTAGTTATAGGGATTCGATGATTATATATCAGCTAAGCCTATCATGCAGTGATGCACTTACGATCGAGTCACGCTGACGTCCGCAGCTGTACAAAGTGCGTGAACATGGGAAGAATCTGATGTTAGCGGTGGTTTTCGATGAGAATGCATGTAACAGTAGTGTCCTGTCATCGCTTGATAATAGGCCGTACAGCTCGTATCGATGACAGTTTGTATGCATAATCTCGCGCATATACGAGCTCACGTGTAGAGCTGCGCGTCCGTATGGTGGGATACTTGCGCGTGACAGCCTGTAGACGGAATTGATTTATAATGGTCAGGAGAAGTCGTGTAATCGAGTGTACCGTGAGGGTAGTTGCCAGCCAATCATGACGTTGGCAGGAACAAAAAGTCGCTTCTCCCTCAGGGTAAACCTATGATATTACCGCAGCCATAAGCCAATGATTCGCAGGATCCATGTGGTCGCCTATCAGTACAAGATCAATGCGAGAAGAGATTGATGGGACGAGAAATCGAATCAGTTGCAACATGGCAAAGCACAGTACTCCCGCAACCACGTGTCTACAGCAAGGCCGGTGGATTCAAGGATAGTATCCTGTAAGAGATGCAACTAAACGCCTACTCACCTTAGCTTAGCATGTGTAAGTGACCTTGTCAACGCTCCTGCCGACCAAGACGCCGAAAAAGATTCGATGGCGGCCACCACTCACAAAGTAGCGTCCCAACTTGAAGCGCCCACTCAAAAGGAATACACCATCTCAAACTGACGCTCAAGGGTCATGAGAAATCGGTGAACAAGATGGCTTTCATCCGTGGTACCCATCTCCTCGTCACTGCCAGCTCAACAAGAGTCTCCAGGTGTAGGATCTGGACACGGGGAAACAAGTCAGCAGCGGAGCAGTTGAAACGTAACTCGAATCCTAGTATAACAATTTACACAACTGACATCAGCGAGGTTCGAAGAAGTGAGTCATCCATGCACTTCCCGCCTTTCGTAGACGTGATCGCATCCAAATTCCTGAAACCCAATGCCCGAAACCCAATGCCCGAAACCCAATGCCCGAAACCCAATGCCGAAAGCCGAAAGCAATGACCGGAACGGTTTCGGCAACGCCCAGGCTGAGTTCCATTCACTATTTAAACCTCCGAATTACAGCGTTGAGTTACTTTCTTTTCACCCGCCGTGTTACAACTCAAGACACTATGGCACCATGCACTACGTTAGCTAACGTATTATAGAGTTACTTTGTTTTTGTCTGAGGTGTAGAATAACTACGTTTTATTTACAATCGTGACGGACTTACATCTGCAACTTCAGTGGGTACTGTTGTGCACACTGTCAGATGATGAAGTGTTTTCCGGTGTCATCATGTCTCTAGCTATAGTAGCCTTATATTTTAGTTGTAATATGTTATTTGTTATTGAGGTATGTTTCCATCTCACACATTGTTTGTCTACGATCGTGTATAAACCATGCTCGCATCAGATGTCAGTGATACCGCTTGCATTTATTGTTACCTTAGGCACTGTTCGAATTCCAGAGCAGTCTCACAAATGGCGCCCTGGGTGCATTGTTGCTGCCTCGGAGGGCACAGTGGCTGTGTGGCGTGAAAGTTGGGGGAGAAAGTAAGCACGGTGATAGTGAGTTCTCCATTCATGGTAGCAATGTCTAATTGCATCAGACGTTGGAGGAGGATAATACAAATTTTACTTCAGGAGCTTTGACCACGATGCAGCTCATTCGCTTTGCTATCGTCTGCATCATGCACTTTGCCACATGGTGCACTGTCTGCATTCAGGAGCATTTTCCACGCTGCTTCGCAATATAGACATAACTTTTGGCAGGTCCTAAGACTATTTTAGCGTTCCCTCCAACATGCCATATAATACTGTATGTACACTGATACATGGACTCCAATACCCTTGTTTAGATACCGATCATCCCACCTCCGTGATGAAGAGATAATAATGATTGTATTACTGTTGAGGATACTTAAATTTGCATAGCAGGAGCAACTACGGATAACAAATTTTTTATTCGCAGTGTGGAGGTAAGTTTCCATTATTTTGGTCGCGACAATGACAATGACGCAGCATTTGTCCACAGACGAAACAATGCTACGAAGAAGATGCAAGTACTCTTGTGGCCGTGAGAAAGCATTGCTTCCAAATTGGGATTCACTACAAATAGGGCGCCGATCGGTGAATGTACTTTCTTTTCCAACTTTCACCATCTCACATAGGTAGTGCTACATTAGATACATACATTCGAATTACTTGATAGGATAGATGTCTAAGCGCCATTTGAATGCTCAAGCTGGCGTCAGCAGACGTAGCAAACGTAGAAAAAACTCCGACAGTGTAAGACATACTTAGTCTTGATCGCATCAATTCTAACAGTGCTTCAAGGCCAGAATTTTTTTGGATGACGAGGCAGAGGTTAGCTCAGGGGATGGAGAGAGAGACGATGAAACTCAAAGTGAAGGCTTGTGAACTATCGGTTTATATGATACATCTATTGATCTCAACTACCTAGATGAATTGTTTGTGGTTCCGGATGACGATTTCGGTGAACACGGCAACATGGGCGAACACATTGTGCAATCTGCATCTCCTTTGATGGACACGTGTGCTTGGGATATCCTGGAGGAGCATCTGCTCACTGATATGTCATTTGGAGAAGTGCTGCAGAAGTTACAAACTTATCTTGGCGCTCGATATTGCCAAGGGGACTGGAAGGAAGCAGTGGACTCCATTTTCCTCACAGATGGAGACATTGGCGAAGCATTGATTGGTCTTCGTGCCATAAAGGGCCGATACATCCCTCATTCATCAGATGCCGCTATCAATTCCAACTCCTCACCAACAATTCTTCCAACCCCTCGTCAGCTAGCGTTTGGAAGGATAAGGTCGAGCACCTTTTTACCCGGTTCAACAATCCAGACTCGAAGTCATTAGATACCGCACCAGACCCGCGAAACCATAGCATAGGAGATTTTGTTGCACCTGTAACCTCGGGCAAATGGATGGTAACGGTGCCTGGTATGTATTTCACTGAACACTTCTCGACTTTCATAACGGTCAGTGAGTTATAGCGGCCAAGACATCATTTCTGGCGACATGCCTCAGTGAATTCGGCTTGGAGACCCAAACACATTCCACACTTCCTGGGCGTTTGTATGTCACTGCCCCAAATTCGCTCCTCATCCGAGCTGCTTTTCCACCCTCCCATACTGAGTGCTTCCTCCGATGCGAATTCATTCCTGGCGATCAAACTCAACCTACCAGCATGGCTCTTCCTGGGTGGTATCGCATGACACGTGGTTCATACAATCGCGATGCAGCATATGGACTATCTTATAAGGATGGCATTCTCACTTTGTTAGTGGCCTCTAGACAACTTGGCGACCCAAAGGATGTTGGCAATCTGAAGAACGAGCGCCGCCTCTTCAAGAATCCTGATGGCGTCCAAAGCTGCACGTACAAAGGACAAAAATATGTCCATGGCCTGTTGTGCATCGAATGCAGAAGAACGGATGTCGTCACATTATCCCTCCCCACTGCGCAGGACATAGCCCTCCACATGCAGTCTGGGTGCAATCCAGAATTTCTTGCAGCCAGCATACATGCATATTCAACTCAGTATTGGATTGAGGGAGATGAGGTGCGGGTCATTTCTGGGGCCATGTCAGGGAGCTGGGGCTTGATACTGGACATTAACATCAATGATGGCACGGTATTGGTGGATCTGGCATATGTCCCAGGATCGAATGACACACTTGTCAATATCGAGGACTCAGTCTCATTCCCCATTGCGGACCTACGGAGGCGTATCCGAGCAGGTCAACTTGTCCGTGTCTTAGATACGAGTGCAGAGGAACCATATTACAAGGGGAAGAGTGGTATAGTTGTTGAAGCTGGTGACAATATGCTTGTCATTCTGGATTCCGTCAGTAAAACTGAGGTTAGTTGTGGCTTATCCCTAGTTTAATTGCTGATATATTGATCCAGTTCACCGTATCGAGTCACTCCGTCGAAACATACATTGTCGACCAGGGGTTGTCCACATTCTTCAGTAGCACGTCCCAAAAATTGGTAGCGCTTCCTGACGACGACGACGCACCGATGAGAGGTGATCACATTATAGTACGAAAAGCGGGCAGTCTTTATATGATAACTGGGACTGTGACAAATGTCAACTTTGCATCAGGGCAATTGACTTTCCTTGTCAGAGGAACATCAGACAACTGTCAAACGGTCCCGATCCGGTGGACCACTTCCTCTCGTAACCCAGCTGCCCTACAATTAACCTCAGCAAGCGGATATGATGTGGTGGCTGGAGACTTAATAAAGGTGGTGAGGGGAAGACACTGGAACATGACGGGCACAGTCCTTACTGTTGACCTGACTAGCCATACCTTAACATTTCGTAGCGGCTACTCAAATGTATGTTTTCGGCTGTATGTGAAAAACTCATTTCACGGCACATTTGACAGATCACTGTTCCTATAACTTGTGCATCCAGACTTAATGAGGGACAGAAGCATGACCCTATGGCACGGTTCATTGGAAAACAAGTTGTAGTTATTCATGGGCATTGGAAATCACTGCGTGGAACCCTGCGCTCTCTTGCACACAATACCTGTCAAGTGGACCTTTTTCAAGGTCAAAGACAGCGAATTCAGCGAAGTGATGTCGTTAGGTGAGTATCATATTTGCTGGACTGCATAATGACTAACAACAGACAGTGAATCAGGGACACTCCTTGATGGAGGTAGATTATCAGATGAACAGCTGCAAGCATTCATTCAGATGTTGCGTCGGTCATATATCCTGAAAGCTCTAAGAGCCGGTACTCCCCCTCCCAGCCCGCCTCCCGATCCACCGGCACAATTGGAACCAACAACTCACCCCAATGCCTCCTCAGCTTCCACGCATGTATCCAACACACTGGGTGAGATTTTTTCTAACTTCAATGCGCCGAATTCAATTACTAACACATTCCCTCAGAGTTTGACCCTTGGAAAATCAATCCAGTGGACAGGGAGGACATGTTGAAGGGCGAGCCTGATGTCCCAGAATCTTCTCGCAAGTTTTATTTATTCACAAATCATCATCACCTTGAGTTAACTTCCTGATTAGCTGCACAATTTCTGCGCAGCAGTAGCTTAAGCTCCATACTAGCCCGGCGTTCATTGGTTTTAAGGGTGTTACCAGCGCCAAATGGCTGGTATCAGAACTACCATGATCGCCTGGTTCGCACAGTAGTTCCGGATCCATTCCTTTTACCGAGTGGGCCGGTCGAGGATGGAAACATCGCAGTCACTTATGTTTCAAGATCAAGTAACAAGGGGACAAAACATGATAAAATTCCCTTTCGTTACATCACTGCAGAGCCCCCGACAGGCAAGGGCAAGGATTTTGTCTTGATATGTGGAGATGGTATCGGAACTATACACACCACAAAGAAAGCGATGAGGGACACAAAGAAGGTGACAAAGGATTCCAATGTCATCACAACGATGGAAGGTAAAATATTTCTTCGTGCCAATGCTTGCCTTTTAGGTGATAGTACGTGATCATAAGTAGTCATTTTTGTAATCCCCTTTACCATATCATAGTTACTTCAAGTGTATTGTCATCCCCAATGGTGTATGAAACAATTGTGCCTTGATTATTCATTAATTTTAAGTAAGCTCGTGAAGCTCACATACACTGGTGCAAGTATTCAAATCAACACCTTGAGAGCTACTCATTGGCAGGACCGTGTGAAAATAGCTACGCCTGTACTTTTGACATCTGACTGGGCTACCACCAAATGATCACTTCAAGCATTAATATCCCAACTGTCCTCTCATACAAGGCGGCTAGAGTTCCAGAGATATTCACCCCATATTTCAGTCCGCCTTGCCATTGTACAGTCAACATCTAAGTTACTTTTTTCCTTCCTATCTTACGTGAGACCCATCAGAAACCCTAATGAAACCCAATTGCATACACCAGCGGCGGGTTGCACATGAGAGAAGGAAACGACGTGATCAGATTGAATAGGCATTTGGCCGCGACGTCCCGAGCATGAGATATGCGATGAGTGCTGGCTACAAGCAGCTTGCGAAGTTCCTCTGATAGATGGGCCGGTAATGCCTGTTCCGCAGCCTGGGAATTCATCTCTCCCATGCATCCACGCATAACCTGCTGACAATTTAGCTCAGCGCACCATATCTGAAGACAGACATTACCTTGTCAACCATAGATTCCATGCATACAATGAGATAACTCTGTCGATTCAGGCTGCCATTCGTGAAGTATAACACCAGGGAAGATGGGAGACCAGCAGCAGATCGCACACTCTCAACGTCTTGCATCATAAACAAGAAGATCACCTGTCCCGGGGACAAGGAGCGTATCTCGTTTGCGCGACGTGGAATATGGCGTGCAAGGAACGATCAGTGCTTCGAGATAACCTGTCAAAATCTCTAAGTATCCTCCCTTTCGAAATAACACAGAGCACTAACAGAATGCGCATATTCATGCCGGATGACAGTGCTATACTCGATTTCGCTCGCTGCATGATGAGCATTCTCGAGCACCAGAGTTGGCATCTTTGTTGCGATTTTCGCCAGCGTAGGCATGAGCCACGTCATTGCGCCCTTCTCCTCGCCAGATGTAAAGTGGAAGAGGACGCAGAGGAACCACATGTTCCGGAAGAGGCCCGTAAGCTCTTGCGAGGCGGCCAGGTGTGGAGAGTAATCTGGATGGGTAATAAGCGCTTCGATCGGCAATAACGAAGAGGCCAGCTGCTCGATCATCTCTTCTGTCTGAATCGAACATTCAGCACAATATTGCAATATGTGAGCAAACTTACCTTGACGTGTCTGTCAGACGTCGCCACGTTCTGGATAGCAACACCTTTGTCTCCGAAGACAGCGAGCAGCTCGACCAAGTATACATCATACAAATCGGGCCTTTGGTCCAGTTCACGTGCAAACCTGGTCTGGGCGGCCAACACCTGCTATCTATCAACATGCACACCATTGATGTATGATTCCCTACATGCCATATTATTAGAGAATCTCGTGTCTTCCAGGTTCGTAGCATGATTGATTAGCGAAAACGCACGCGCAACGTCTATAAATGATTCTTCAGGAGCTTGGAGCGCAAGATCCACAAGGTTGTACGGGATCACAGCCTCGTGAGTCAGCTCCAAAGTCTGTAAGCGCTGCAAACAATTTCGAGATCATAAGTTTTGTGACTTCTTCCTGGCCCGCAGTACGGAACTCGAGTGCAAGGCGCGTGACAACAGATATAGTCGTGATCCCAATGACCCGCTTCTCTTCGTCTGAGCGACCGTGTAGCCCTGTTTCATCGCTTTGGAGGGTCACATTATCATTGGGAGAGGTGATCGAGGAACTGTAGGGGGGGTTAGAAAGGAGTTGGTTGGAAGAAAATGATTCAGTTATTTCTTTGGAGGTCGCAGCGATGTAATTGAGGAGAGAGTACATGTTGGACATGATGGTGTCGTCACCAAGTGACAGCTGGGAAGGCTTGAGGTGTATTGAAAAAACAGGGTGAGGAAAGACGTAAAGTGCAAGGCATTTGGCAGCTGCTGTCAGGGGTGGGGGTTAAAAGACGGAGCGATCTCCGGGAAACTGTAAAGGATGAGCCAAAGAAGCGCTGCACATTTCATAGCCTAATGAACCTTTGCACTAGCACTGTAGTAGCCTTGAGCGCCGATTTCTGAACAAGATTGTCAAGGATGGGTGCGCTGTCGCTCAATAGCTGCGTCAGGCAAATATGGAGATGCTCATATAGCTCTCGAAGCGCAACAGAGCAGACAGATACTAGTCTCTGATCGGAATGATGGATCAGATCATAACACCTGGCCAATTAACATACAAGAAAAATCTACCAAACTCTTGGACACAGTCTCCCATTCATAGGTATCGACGGGAGGTTCGGCTTCTATACCCTCAATCTGCTCCAACAAATCACTAAAGCACTGCAGTGCATCTACGAGGACATTCCTCAAAGCTTTCTTTGCCTTCTCACCATCCTCCAATCCCAAGTCCTTCGCAGGACATTTCATGAGGTTCACCCGGGCCCATGCTTTATTCGCCGCAGCCGCTTCGCACACCTGACCTTTGTGCACCAAAGGAGCACAGTCCATTCCATCTCCATGACACAGCAAATGGTAAAGTACCCGCTCAGCGGGCGTCCAAATGCGATGTATTGAGAGAGGAAGGTGTGGCAGAAGGCGATGGAGGTAGCGTCGGATTCTTGATTTATGTCGAGTAGGAGACGATTGATTTGTTCAACAACGGGAGTCGCGACAAGGGACTGGAGGGACTCGGAAGGTGCCATTGAGAGGCGGTCCAGGGGTGAAAGAACATATCAGTGTCATTGGCCCTATGATTGGAATGAAAGTCAGATAGGATCCGCTCCCCACTCATCCTCCATCTGGACTCCAGCACATAGACTGCACATGTTTTGCGTGCCCGTCCATTTTTTATGACCTTGCCCTTATCGATGTTCCATCACTTTACAATGTGATCGAGGGATGCCATGAGCACGTGACAAGTAGGGAATGTCCCAGGGCCGCAAACGATGTCTTTTACTGGGGGGGGTAGGGTCTGATAGCGTACAATATGGCACTGGGAATTCATTTGCATGTCATTGTCGACAAGTCTACATTGCTTTAACAGCACGACAACGACAAGAAATATGCAACACACCTTGCCACGGACCAGACACTGACGCCAAAGTCATCACTGCCTGAAACAAGGGCAGCACCGGCAGTGCCCCATACCCTAATTCCCGGGACCCTAACCGGCATGGGTAAATTTTAGGACACTGACATGGTGACAGTGGGCGTCCCAAGAGTTGTACAAGATGCCTGACACGATCTACTGTCAAAAATTGAGATTGGGCGCCTGACATATTGATTTAATTGACGCGCCTCCCACAGATATATTTGACCTTGGGCTGTCCCTCCTGCACAAAAGCTTCCCGTGTTATCGAGGGCAAGCTGAGTGTGAGGGAAATAAGGTTGTGCTGGGTTTAAATGTTTCACGTGACTTCGGACAGTTCCGCACCCCTAGTATGCCGCCCTCAAACACTCGAAGCAGTGGCTGGGAAGTAGCCTGCTTCTGACCCATACTAAGTGAGTCTTTAAATGTTACCACTTGGCAATTCCATCTTCCCCTTGAATATGAATCACAGATGTGCGCCTAACAAGGGTGTATAGTGTGTATTTTACAAATGTCGTTGAACTCAAACATCCTCATTGAAGGGCATTTAGCATCAGCATTCCACCTCTTGGCAACATTTTGACGCTCATTTGTCACCCTCGATCCCACCAGCAAGGTCGATTTAGGATTAACCATATCGAGGGTAGCGACCGCACATGCCCCACAGGTGCGTGCAACGTTTGCATGTTCACTCGTCCATCTTAGAAAGATTTACATAGGACCGTAGTTTCACCTCCACGCCAAACACCAACCACTTAAAACAGACTCGGCTCAGTCCTCTAATGATGCCAGCACACATTCGCATTTGCATTCAGCGTTGATTTGGGAAGACTCGGCTCATGCTTCTAGTGAGGCGAAAGAGTTGTAGCTTCACCTTTGTGTCACGAAGCCTCAGTTCAACTTTTCGGTGCAGCCTTCTAGTCGAGCCAGACGACGAGAACATGAACAAGGAAAAAATGCCACAACGATACAGGGCCGGGAGAGCAGTGATTCAGGGCCTTTCTACATGAGCGAGATAGTAACGAGAGCGTCAAAGTGCGTGGATGCTGGAATATTTTCTTGAACTGGCTGCGCTACAAAGGTGAGTTTCTTAATATCTTCAGTCGATGTATTCAATTCATGCATGCATCAGCGTTCTGATATTGCTCATCTCCTGCTTGCAGCTTGACTATATTCTAGATAGGTATTGCATTTGCTTTCGAGCGATATGTTACTTGCTGTCGCACGCGGTCACTCATCCAGTGCTAGAAGCTCGTATATCCATCATGTCCTCTGTTAAGGACGTATCAGACACTGCAAGATCGCACATGGTGATATCTGCCATGGAGACGTTGGCCAAGGACCCAGCTTCCATCTCAAAATTATTCGGCATCAACTTCCACCGGTATACTGCTCTCGTGGTGTCTACATTCCTTAGCGTCCCTGGGTCGAGCTCAAGGAGTATTGCAAAGGTGCAGATCCTTTCAACCGCAAGCCTCGCAAAAACGAGAATGTTCGGGATTGGTGGCTCGCTGTCCAGAAAGATGAAAACGCGCAGGTTCTTGGGGTGATAAAGTCATTTACGCGATTGGTTCAATTCACTAAAGTCTTGTTCTTGTGTCAGGCTCTCGCGATCAAGTTATATTCTGTGGTACCGGTGTCAATGGCTGACGAGAGGACTGTGTCGACCATAACGTGGCTCAATAGTCCTACTCGGAGCCGACAAGACATCGCAACATTAAAAGAAACCATTCAAATTCGCCAGTGGCACCGCTGGAAACCTGATGTAAATTGCCTTTGCTCGTTCGGACTATTGAAAGACTGATGTACATCTAATTCAGTCAGTGGCATCAAAAACGGCTCCTTCGGTCAAATGGCGCGATATGCATGCAACCATCCTCGGTGACCAACAACCTGAGAAGCCAACGGTCGTTCCACCACCTGTCCGACCACCTATGAAAAGAGATGTCGCAATAAACGACTCGGATGACGAGACCAGTGAGGGACAGTGACCTTATGATGGTGATGACGTGAGCTTCGATGGAGAAAAAAGTGACAGGTTTGATGTTGGTGATCACATCAACTTATCATCAGGATTCCTTCTCGATATTCTCTCAGACCAGCCTGTGCAGCTTGAGCCAACCGCTTCCGCGAGTCACGGACCTCCATCCAAGCTGACGTCTGACACTGCAACTTCATCGACGACACCAATGGATGACGAGTGGGAGACATGGGAGTCTGTAGAGTAAATTACAGTCAATTAGGTGAAATTCACCTGCAAATTAACGCTAATTAGCGTCAAAAAGCTGGAGCTTTCGGGGGCTCTGCCCCCGAACTCCCGTCAGTAAATTTGTGTGAATTTCGTGTCATTCACACCTGTAAATTTGGCCCTCTGCGAGGGCCATGCTAATTAGCCTGTCAACCAGACGCCATACCCTAATTCCCGGGACCCTAGTCACGGTGCATTCTTCGACACTTTAGCAATGCAGGACAACTGCCAGGAACTATCTGAGCCCGTGTATAGTATGAAATGGCTAGCGAGGATAGACAAGCGGCTTCAATCACGCGTAGCGGAACGGCAGGCTCTCTGTATGTCGCACCAGCATATTTCATTCTATCTAATATCCTCGATAGTGTTCGCTAGGTACCAGGCGGGCACGATGAAACGGAACAAGCAGAGAGCAGAACGCGATGCATGCTCGGCTATATTGCGAGAGGCCACTGGTGCGTCACAAGGATATTTCGCCCCGTCGACTGCTGATGTACTCGATACAAAGGGCTTTCTAAGTCGGATATTCGCAAGAAATTCAGGAGACAGGGGAGGGCAAGGAGGAAGGCATTGATTGCGGCAGAACAAGACACTGGTGCGTATTTTGAATATCTTATGTCCACTAGTTGTAAGTAATGTCTATAGAGAAAGCGGTAACACAAATTTTAGCGGACACGCAAGCGCTGCTAGTAGAGAAAGAGGCGGAACTCCTTGCAATGCGAGATGTAGCACAAAGGGATGCGTTGCTTGCAGCAGAGAAAATTGCATTTTTGGAAGAGAGAATGGACGATCTACTTGTAGTGCTAAAAGGAGGCATCTGACTAGCTTTGACCTCTTCATCTTCAAGATCGCTGTCAGATGCGTATCCGTAGTCATCAAATGCCATGCCATCCTCGAATGCTGAGCGCTGAGCCATCATCGAAGTTGACAAATGTGTCGTCGCGATCCCCATTCTGGACAATACTGTCGACTCTAATGAGCGTGCTCACCACCTTCATGGGAAAAAGCCTATGTTCGGCAAAGCGTCTTCCATTTTTTTTCAATGAGATTGACTATGGGGAGGAGTCCGAAGTAGTGCAGCGCGGGTTGCTCATCTTTCTTTTTCTTCTCTTCTTGAGGCTTTTTTATCTGAGGCATGTAGTCATGGGCCTTGCACACGGCCTCGTCGATCTCTTCCGCACTTGGCTGCCAAAGACCAAGGATACTGACGCGCGCAGCGATTGCACGGCCTATGGCTTGTTCAAAGGTATCATCGATGCCCATTTCGAAAACGCGCTGGGATGATGTCTTATTTCCTTTTTTACCCATTCGACATAAAGGCGCGTCTCTTTCCGCTTCAACTTCGACTTTGGCAGTTTGACGTCGTTAAGCAATCCTTTTGTTGACAACAAAAATTTAGTGACTTCCCGCCAGTCGCAGTACATCATGTGTGGTTCATCGAACTTTACTTTGCAAAAGAGAGGATCCTATTGGGTAAGGAGGACGTGTATTGCGAGTGGTAGACCCCTGCTTTGGATCGATGATGTGCGTATGGACTACAAATCCCTCGAGTGCTTTGCCATTCCATTTCCCGGTTTTCGCGATATCGTCAGCGAAGGATTTAACTTCAGGAATCAAGTTCAGGGCGATGGCAGGCGTCTTGATAATTCCCCGTTCTTCTGCGAATGCGTCAACCGTTTCCGTAGGCACGGTATGAAATTCCCTCGAAGTTGCGTTTATTCCGTGGAGATGTAGACCTGACTTCTCAGTAGGATGAGGGAGTACATGCTCCTCAAAGCTGTCGTCGCAAAGCTGTGGGGTAACAGTTGGCTCTAGAACTTTTAATTGCATTGTATGGATTGCATACCTCGACGATGATTGCTGTCCAGTTCTTCTCCCATGATCTCGATGCCAGCTGTTCCTCAGTTTTGACCTTATCTACCAAGCGCTTCTTGAGTCACCGATGGCCAACCTTTCATTGCGTTTATGAGACCCCTTGCATTGAACCTAGTGCATGCTTGGTCGTGACAATCACCTTCGAAGGAAAAAATGGGGGCGACAAATATGATACATCCATTAGATTTGAGTGACAGCGTATATGTGGGTCCCGTATGTAAGGAGAGTGTTGACCACTGCGAACGAAGTGATGTCAGGCAGTTTGACATGAAGACAACTCACATCGCTCCATGGGGCCTCTCCGATGTTGAAAAACTTATCATTTCCTCGAGCTACGATTGGGTACTTTTTCTCTCCCTCAGAGTTATCTCCATATGCAAGTTCACGGCTGAACAGACCTCTCATTAGCGTTGGAAAGGGCGATGGAATGTCATAGTACTTGAACTCGTTCATCTTCCAGCTTCGAACAGAGATGAAGGGATTTGACGGCACACTATACATCATTGATCGTACCAGCTTTTGAAACTTCTTTGAGAGCCGGTGCATATCATTGATGAGCTGAGAATCCTCCGTGTGCAAGTGAGTTGACATATTGGATATATGTCTGCAAAATGCAGGAGGTGATGATGGACAGGGACTGGGGGGTCGTGTCCGGCATATGTAGGAAAGGAGATGCTGTACAGAATGATTCAGAATTTTGAATATGAGCCACCTAGGTGATTTGAGTCTGAGTCAAAGTTGAGTCGGATTTTGAATCGGTAGTAGTAGTAATTAGCAACTTACTTTCTGAAACCAATAGCTTTAGATCCTAACACAGACAAACACCAGTGGCAACTTCAGTGACCTCTGAGATCGATTCCTTCCGCCAGCCCGTACCTCCAAATCCGAGACATGAGTGATGGATTTCTGAAATGTAGCAGAGGATGATATCATCCAGGGAAGTTTGGAAGATGGTGGAACATGTATGAAAGGACACATTACAGTATTCACCTAACGGGTTCCCAGAAGCACAGGAGTCGGTTGATTCAGAACTGAGCGGTCGAGCATTGTGATTGGCTGCTCGTCTTGAGCAGCCTTAGTACTGAAGTTGTGCTCCCACAGACCCCCTCGGTGGGCGCGCGGCGCACAGCCCAATGCAGCCCCATGCTCCCTGGCATAGAATCTTAGGATATGCGATGCGTGAACCGTGGAAGAACATTTGAAGAACGAGGAAATGGATGAGTTTCTGGGATGAGCAAAGCAATACGAATGAAGTAAGGGAGAATACTAACAGTGGACCATCAGAAGAGAAACGAACGGAGAGTAGTTTACTATCAGAAAATCAATCAATGTTTGAATATGATAGATGATGACGACTTACTGTGAGAATGACGGGCTGCTGCGAGCGCCTTCCATCACGATGGCGTGCATGATGCATCCTCCGCCCGCTGCCTCAGAAGTCGCGCTTTTGAACGACAGTATCTGAGCGCCATCAGCATGATATACGACATGACGCAGCCCGCGCTCCAGATCGTAGCACAGGATGTCGGGACCGCTAATGTGCGGGATGACGAGCCACGAGCCAGCCACTACTTCCCAGTGGTCTCTTTGCAAGACTGACCACTCGGGCCCAAACCAAGTCGCCTTAGAAGTTATCGTCAGAGCTTGCTTGTTCCACTTGACGCCAAGTTCATAAGGGTGCTTTCTAAGAACTCGCGAGACTGAGAGTCGAGTGGTCCGAGGGGACGAGGAAGTTTTGCACGCTTGTACGCATCGTGCCATATAGCTGTGTGGAATGTCAACTCGCGAAGGCCTTTACACACCTATATCAATCATTACAAGTATGTTCAATGTGAAGGCATATGATAAGCAAACGTTGAACAATGATTTCTCACCAGTCGAAGGCAGATGATTTTGCGGACAGAAAGAAAGCACAGGACACGGTACAAAGCATCGTGCGGACTTGTCAGCATCATAGTCGGTGCTCAAAGGTATGTTACCAGCGCCAAGTCCACGGCATGATGTGGCGCAGTGCGCCAGATAAACAGATGGAAGCGAACGAGTGCCTATTCGCTAGTACATAGTCAGAATCATAGAGTACTAGTGTAGCTTTCGTCAATGCGACGTGTGAGCACCAAGGTCGAAATTCAAGCTCAAGCGGCAATCTGCGGATGAGGTCCTTCCCTGTCCTTGCCACAACGCTAGTACTAGTCACTGCGATCGAGCCGTTAACTGCTGCAAATATGATCGCATTTTTCTCGACTTCGAGCTTCAAAGCTTCAAGGCCACTCAAACTGGCGTGTCCGCGATCAGCATAGCGTTTTTTATAGTCGCTAGGCAGACGGTATAAAAATATGAAGATAATCGTTTCTTCAATTTGTATTTCCCGCAGTTCGGAGGCGCCCAGTCAATACAGCAGCAAATATTGCCTTGAGGCTTGTACTAGTTGTAGGAATGACCTATCTAAACGCTGAGCGCTGAAGCTGGGACCCACCCTTCCTCTAACTACTTATCTCACCCTACCTTCACTCAGTCTGATGCTCAACATCAACTATTTCAAACGATGAGTGAACACAATCAATCAAGGAACTCAAGGCAAAATCTACCTCCCGAAAACCGTACATCCAGTGAACCAAGCGCTGGTGAAAGTCCGGTATGTTGCTGATGAGGACTACTTCTCCTTTCACCTCGAAACATTAACTCTGATATCATCCAGGGCAGACGCCATGGCAAAATTCGTCGGTTTCTAGGGAAGGTTAAGAATGCAACTAAATGGATTTCTGTGAGTCGACAAGGATCCTGAGTTTCCTGGAATAAGGCTCATCTAATTATACAAAAGCACTCGAAGGATTCAAGCAGCCGTGACCCTGTTCTCTCGAACATTGATTGTGAAGGTGCTTCATCGATGCCGAATATCAAAGTAGGTCGCCTTTTAGTTTCTGCTCTCTCTCTGAATTCTTGTGGTCGCGCAGGATCTGGATGCTCCCTCTGGTGCGGAACAAGGCGCCGGTCCCCAATTAGCACTTCAGACCGCCGAACAGGCTGTAAAACTCATCGAACCACCTTTGAGACACACAACATCTACAGCGTCTACCGCCCAAAATACACCAGCGGGTCTCGAGGCTGCATATAATTTCCAGGATACATATCTTCAACCCCTCAGGATATTCGACAAGATTACTCTGCACTCGAGTTCGGCGGTGCCTCAGCAGCAACCATAATCCCTCTCGTCATACAATTCGGAAAGAACGTCGCACCTGATGACTATGGCTCAGTTGTTGCGGCAGTCCACCAAATTCCGGAATGGAATCATTCTCTGAAGCCACATAACAGCGAGCTGCCTGCGACAACGAATATTACAGATATTTTGATTGTTGACTGGGACGGCCCAGATGACCCTCAAAATCCTAAAAAGTGCGTTGCGTGTGCAGAACAGAGCAGAATGGTTATTAGGCCTATAGTTCTTGCACAGCTGGAGTTATAGACGCAAATGGGCTGCGACACTAATCATATCAGCGTTTAGTTTCATTAGTCCAGTGTCCTCCTCTATGACTGCGCCCGCTACCGACCAAGTGGCTTCTGGCTTCGTTATAACAACGATGTTGTATTTGCCCTTACAACATCCATCTTCGGGCTTGCGTTTGGTAAGCGAATTTTTCGGATGCTGGATACCCCACTGATCAACAAAACAACGTACCAGCGATGGGTCCATTGTTTTTGGGTCCATTGAGTGAGATTACGGACGATCGCGCGTTTTGCAATCGTCAAATCTATGGTATCTTGGTATGTAGTCCTTACAGCATGATCTATATTTTCATCCTCATTCTTGAAATGAATTGGCAGCATGGAATATTGGATGTGGATTTGGACAGTCAGAATCCCAGCTTCTCGCCTTCCGATTTCTTGCTGGCATCGGAGGCAGCGCAGTTTTGTCGGTAAAGCTTACATTTGTTGAATGGACAGTTATTGGGACCTGTTGTGGGAACCTAACACAGGTGCCTGGTTTGTGGCTATTCCAAACTTCAATAGCAATATCTAAGTCTTCACTAGGATCACTGAACTCTCGACCTGGAGATGGGTGGTATGTGATGCTTTTACCGATGGAGGACTATTCTCATTTCTCTGATAGTTTTGGTCTACGTCCATTATGGATGTAGTTACTCATATCGTTTGTTTGTTTATACTTCAAGAGAATGGGTCACTGACTAGTCGCGATTCGCTCCTCATCTTCATCAATACTATTCAGCTTACGAACCCGTCTTATCGGAAAGGAAGGCAGAGCGGATTGGCGGATCTATGGATGCCGAAAAGACACCACAACGAGTATTCTGCACCGTTTTCAGTCAAGATCGCTCGTGCGCCCTCCTACAATCGCTGTAACTTGAAAAATGACGATATTTTATATAGCTGGCAGATTATCATGGCCAAATCGCGCAGTCGCCCTTTTGCACTCTTCGCCCACAAGCCGATCATACAGCTCCTCGGCATTTACATGGCATATCTGTACGGGTTACTTTATCGTAAGCCACCTATTCTTCGACAAACATGGTCTCATAGCCTCTCAGTCTTTTTGACGACGATACCATCGGTGTATACCAGCAGTCGACGGGAATTGCCGGCCTTCATTACATTGCACTTGGCATAGGCTTGGTCGGGGCGTGCCAATTAAATGCGAAAACGACGGATAAGGTTTACATTAATCTCAAGAGTAAAAATGGTGGAGTTGGGAAGCCGGAGTTCAGATTGCGTTCGTTGTACTGTTCTAGTGCCCCCTTTCTTGAGTGCTTGCTCAATTCACCATCAGCTGCTATGGTTCCCGGATCTCTGCTACTTCTAATTGGGTGCTTGATCGTAGGCTGGACCTCTGAAGCCCATACGCATTGGATAGCTCCAGATATTGTTGGTTTGATTCTCCTACATACTAGTACTGCTTCTCTACTGACGGTTTTGACAGGGTATGGCGCTTGTGGGAGCAGGTACTATTCTGGGTTTCCAGTGTATTCCGACCTCTGAATGCTTTCCGCTTCATGCTGCCTCTGGTGCGTTTAATTCGGTTCCCGTGTAACTCATCTCAAATATTTCACATTCAGCGATTGCCGCTATCGCCTTTTTAGCAAATTTACCCCAGCTGCCACCAAACGATGACGATGAACAATCTGAGATTGCTGATGGAATCGGCGAACTTTTGACTGGCATGGGGCCACCTCCATTGTATGTCACCTTCCATCCAGAATCCAATCCTTTTTTACTCATTGTTGTATAGACCACGGCCAAGCATGTCTACCCGAAAGCCAAAGTCACCAAATCCTGAATTCAAACCATTAAGTCCTGCTTCATACTTTTCTCAGGCATTGGAGATATCGCTCCCTACCCGAGCCCTCAACATTCGGGTATATTACACTCCTCCGAAGTACGACGGCGGGGGTGTTATTGTATCCCACCACGGTGCGGGATATGCCGGTACAAGCTTTGCATGTCTACCTAAAGAGATAAGTGAGGTCATGAGGGACAACGTAGGTGTCCTGGTGGACTAGGGGTCTCATGGGTAGCAGAGACGAGGAGAAGAGTCCCACGGCTGTTTCCGAGGCTTAGTCAGACGAGGTTGACGATTCAGCACAGAGCACAGTAAGTAGCACACCACCACTTTAGCAGCTTAGCATCACGAAGCCAGTTTGTGCCATCTCACTGGCCTTTGATGCCAGAAGACATGGTATGCATTCGCTTCAGGGGAACGTGAAGTACTCATCGTGTTCCAGGAAAGATAACATCATCACAGTCTGATGAAGACCTATCGATCAATGTCCTTGTTGAGGATTTCTGTGCTCTGCTACAGACGATTCACCCGGATGTGGCAGCAGTCCCAAATTTAATGGTGAGCTTTATTCTCTCTTTCACGCATATCGGATTGATGACACCCTGAGTAGCTTGTTGGGCACAGCATGGGAGGATCTGTCTGCGTTCGCGCTTGTCCCATACTTCAACAACGAAAATTCAATATCGCAGGAGTGGCCGTTTTGGATGTAGTAGAAGGTACCTATTGCTACATCAAGTTCTGTAATTTGCACGAGTTTGACCCATTACCAATAGGCACAGCAGTAGAAGCGCTGCCTCACATGCACGCGATTCTCAACTCTCGACCCGAGGGTTTCGATAGCGTTGAGGAAGCAATTGAGTGGCAGTTCGTGTTTCGTACCACCTTTAGTAAATGCTATCTTCATACTTGCTCATACAGCGTCAATACGGGCCTTGTCCATAACCCCATTTCTGCTCGTGTTTCAATCCCATCTATCATTGTTTCTGCAGATTCTCCTCTTACGCCCAGCACACGTGCAAATATTGGATTCAAATACAAGTGGCGTACACCACTCCGGTCGACGGCACCACACTGGGATAGTAAGCCTATACTTGCTCCTTTGATTTGCATACTGATTTTTCTTTCACGCTGGTTTCCGTCGCTCTCGTCTTTATTCCTTGGGCTCCGTTCTGCACGACTTTTAGTATTAGCAGGTGCAGAGCGCCTTGATACGACACTTATGGTCGGTCAAATGCAGGGCAAATTCTGGCTCGAAGTCATGGCTGGTTCGGGTGTGGGACATCTTATGCACGAGGTTCGTCGGTTGCTTGCGATAGACGCTTACTCATCTATGCTGACGTGAAATTAGGACAATCCGACAAAGCTGGCAGATTTCTGGAGGCGCAATGAACGCATTGTGGTTCGAGGTAACGTTATCAAGACGGTCGGGGAAGTTTAGAGAAGTTAGATATGCCGATGTATGTTTGGTTGTGCGCTTTGTCTCATAGTTTGCTCCAAGGTCGTTACTCGCAACAACCCAAATCATAGTCTCGGTCCAAGACTCCAGTAGTATGAACCTTAAGTCTGATCAATTGGTCACTGATCCTGGAGTTTGCCCTGGTGAGGCATGTTGGTCATGATACATATCGTCCTCATTATGTCTTACTTGTCTCTCGCTGGGAACACTATCATTGGTCGCATTCACGCCCATAACCACTGAGCATCAGTGAACGGATGGATCTCTCTGAGAAGAACATATAATAATATATAGCACGAAATTACAAAAATCTGCGTAAATCTGCTATCGATCGTCACATTGTCATTCTTGACCTTTTCGAGGAAAAGAAAGTTCCTATTTTCCTACACTAGCTTGTGACAGGGAAAAGTCCCTAAGATGTTTCGAGCTCAAACTCAAGGGGAAGGTGGAGCAAAAGATAAGTGTCTGTTTGAGCATTCGAGGTTTAATGAATGTACTATCGACCACTTGAATAATGCACTTTGCAGGTCTATGTCATACAGGAGTTTGTACGACAATTTTTATTCAAACTACTGCCTCCCGGTACCGACCGCGTTCATCGTCCGCAGTGTCAAATGCATCAGTCACTGCAGGGCAGGTGAAGCAAGTGCAAACTTCGCTGTCTCGTTATCCTTGAGAAAATACATCACCATCGAGAGATTCTGTATGACCTTGCGTTTCGAACAATTCTGTTCTCATTGGAGAAGTCTGGGAGCTAGGAGTTGGCTGTAGCTTCGTGATATCTTGGACAGGCCTTTGAAGTCGCCATCAGCTCCAAACACGTCGTAAAGGGCGACGCTCATTATGTTAATAGTTGCAGCCAGCCCTTTGCGTTCCCACCACCATTTGTCGAGTACGTCGTTCCTCTGGCTTCAGTCCAGTAGGTCGTTTATTTTATCAAGGTGCTGGGAAAGTATGTATACGTCGGACAGTGCAACAGTCATACCGCCACCTGTTATTAGTGGATGGCGCATGTTCCAGGCGTCCACGAGAAGGATGACACCACGTTTGTTCGTCTGAGGGGCAGGCGGGTAGGAATGAGCTAGGCATGCGGCGGACACGATCAGTAGCAAGAGCAGCACGGATTGGCTCGTGTTACTAGTTGATTAGGGAGGGAAGGCAAAATTTCAGTGATGATATGTTTCTAGGGGGTCTTGAGCCCATGCAAACTATGAACAGCAAAAAACAAACCTTCAAGTCGGATGGTACGGGACCTAAGGCCGTATAGAATTTAGAGTTCGACATCAAAAGAAACACAAGGGAGCACGCCGTCTTATATAAAATGTGCCGTGAGTCCGGATATCGGGCGAGATGTGCGAGTGTGTTCTGTCTCAAGCGCGCATCTCAACAGATTCTGTCCACAACCTGTTCCCACTGGGACTGAGTACTGAGGTTTGATTACATTGTCTAGTTTTTACAGTGCATACAAAAGTGGGATCAAGAAACCAATCATTACAGTAAAAACCACGAACAGCTGGAAGACTCAGGTCAAATTTCGGACGAA